ATGGAATCTGCTGTGTCATTTCTGTGTCACTCCAACCGAATTGCGGAAAAGATTCTGTGTGTCCAGCAAACATTCTATGTGACGTCACCTAGAATCGTTGTCGTCTGAGTTGTTGCGAACACCAAACGGAGCAGAATCTATGGGGCATGATGTCATGAGTGACCTCTCGGCATATTCTCTCTTCAAGGAATGTTTGATAATTGCGCGTAAAATTCAACGGCACATATTCAACCGTTACTCTAAGGGTAGTTGCAAGGAGAAATACTCATCCTGCAGGCTGGGAATAGAGTGCATGAAGTAATATAATGAGGCCCGTGCACACAAGAAGGCGAAACGTCCTGGCGCTCGCGAGCACGCGTGGGGCTTTCAGCAACAGAGTAAAATTTTGCTGACCTCATCGGAAGAGCTCACAACTAATGTTGGGGGCCTGCGAGCCAGAAGCGCCTACTGATTAAAGGGAGTGTCCCACCTCTGTCGAATATTGCAAAACATGCTCCACTGAAACCTCAGGTGTAGTTGCCGCTAACAGTAGCACTGGGTACTGCCGCGGCAGCACCGTCAATACATGACAATGCTATCAGTTTTGATTATTTTCGTGACCAAATTATGCTGTCAGGGCTTTGTAACAGCACCGCTCTTTTTTCCTGCAGTTCCAGCCAATGTCGTCATGGCAACCATGGCGCGCACCTCTTCTGGTACGAATACGATAACATTTGTGATTGGCCTGGCGGGCAAGGGCCTGCTATCGAGGAGTATATTGGCCAAAGTTGATCCAATGCGTCACATGAATCTTGTGTTACTTCCACTCCCAAAGCTAATGTGCGCCTCGAAAAGACCCACTGGGTAAACGCCTTTGGGGCGAATTAAAGCCATGACATAACGTTTCGTTGAATTCGCGAGATATCAGCTTCGTGCTCGCATAAATTTGTGTCTGAGACACAAACAAAAAAGATACGGAGAGCTGGCAGCAAGTCCCATTAAGGCACCAACGACCCCGACGCGCAGAGCCGGGCCCTCAAATATCAGTCAAAGGGCCTCTTGCATCGGTGTAAAATATCCTGGAACAATGCGGACCTCTATATCGGTTAAAGAGCGGCAACACCTAACAGACGTCTCCGTGCCGGTCTGAGCCCTGGGGCCATCTCCCAAGCAGGGACAAGGTCGGGACGCGCGATGTGCATTGGTCGGACCCCTAAAACAATGAGCGCTCCTATGCCTGTGAGGCCCTACAGTGCCCAACAGAGGGTTCTATGTCGACAAGGGTCTCAAGTCGGCCTGGGTAACTACGGGTACTTTAAAGTTCATGTGCGTAGGCGCCGGAATCACATGTGGAGGTCCAGAAGTTTGCATCAGCTTCTGAAAAACGCACCTTTTCCGTGAAGCTGGAAGCATTGGTACCTTTTCTGAATATCCAAAAAAGAAATCATTTACGAAGTGGTTTTTGACATTATCTATACATAAACAAGAAAAGGGTGTTCTTATCACACGTGGCTTGCACAACTCGTTCATACGCAGGTCCTTGACAAACCGAAGTTTCATCGATACAAATTTGCATTAGTATTTCAGCTGAAGCAAAACAAAGCATAGGCGCTCCTCCATGCATCAGCTACGAAAATTGTCTTCAACCTTTCCCCAAAATAGCTTAAGCAGATACCCTCGTGTTGAAAATGCCTTTCTCTGCTCATTTCATTACCCACGCTTTGCAAGCCTCCTGAGTTTTGGGGAGACACTGTTCCGAGCCTTTGTGCCTTTATATATATACATATATATCACATACTTTTACTTTCTATAACTCAAGTATAGGCCAGACGCTACCGCAGGATCAGTTCTGCCTTAAGTTTACGGCAAATAAACTGAAAACAATATGTTTTAAATGACCGCCTGAAATAAATCGTACGGCGCTCCTCATCTTACAGCGGTCTAGTGGACTCTTTTTAAAACGACAGACCTCAGAGACTTCGTCAGAATTTTCATCTGGGTCGTACAAAGACAGCAAGGATTTAGCGAATGTAGTTGGAAGATGTAAATGGGTCAACAACTTGTTATAACATGGCCAAGCCATGTTTGTCAGAATATGTCCAACATTCAGTCAGAATCAATAAATGGTAAAATTATGTAACGTAGTTTTGAGCATGCGCGCTCGTACACCGAATAACAAAACCTCGACGCCAGGCGTTGCAGTCTCCCTAGGCCCCGCATCGTCGGTCTCGCGACTAACATCAGGCCGTGACTAACAGATGGACGAAAATGATGACGCATTTGAAAGAAGAGCCTTTTAACGTTTTTGGAAGTCAAATCATACATTTAGAGATATTCCGGGCGTACATCTCACCTGTGCAGTCTTTAGACTAGTGACAACAACGTATGTAACCTGGGATCTCGCAGTGGAACTGGGAGAGTAAAGGTAAAATCTTTATTTCCCGTGTTGCTGTAGCTGTTGATCTGTTCAGAGGACAACCTTAAATTGTAAAAATATATTTACCCAGTCGTATCTTTGAAGTGTGCGAATACATTTTGAAAGAAATTCAGAAACATAATTTTACGATGGTCATTGTTGCGCGCACGGCACCTGCCCCCTGGCGTTACTCGCAGTGGCCAACACCGCTCGGTTTTACGAAAACTACAACCCAAGCAATCGCTATGCTTGCTCCCCTGGATTACAGGCGTGACAATGGGGCTTTGTAACGCACTCAGCTGCTGGGGCTATATGGCGTCGCTAGCCTCTCACCCTGGCGCCAAGGGGAGTCGTAACTTGTACTTGTGGTTTCCAAGACGCACCGTAGTTAACACAGGCGCGATAACCACTACACTCTCGGCACCCGGCGCGCAGGCTCAAAAATTTTGATGTTATTTATTTCACTAGTCGATTGTGCAAAAGAATGAACGTTCTCAGGCAAACGTGGGATGGCCGCAGTTGACCCCGGATCGAATCATGAACCGTCATTAACGCAACAACATCCCTACTCGCCGCAGGTGGTCAAATAGTTGGCACATAGACTCCAGTTGGGCTTGACGGGCCTATGCTGCAATAGGGTTGGAGGGCCCACCGTTGGACGCTGGGGGCCCTGACTGGCACAGGACTCTTCTATTGCCTTAATGTGAGCGCTCATCATAAGCTCTTCCTTCAGCTGTGAAAATGCCCCGACCAAAGGAAGAGACCCTCTGCCATTCGGGCCCCCGTCCCCGTTCCTGTTGAACAAATTTTCGCCTGACCGACTCGAGGCCCCTTGTTGACACAGAATGCCCTGTAAGGCACTGTGGGCCCCTGAACGGCACAGGAGCCCGACCAATGTAAATCGCGGTCCGGCCTTGTCCCTGCTTGGGTAATAGGTTCCCAGAGCTCAGACCAACACGGAGCCGACTGTTCGTTGTTCGTGATCTCTGGCCAACATAAAGAACGCTCTGTGGCAGGGGACCCTGGCGGTGCAAGAGATCATCTTACTGACATGTGAGATCACGGTCCTATGAACGGGGTCTCTAATGTTACCTACGGACAGCCCTTCGGACCCTCCAGCCATTCCATCAGGCCCTTGATCTTTGGTCCCGATGGACCTTTCGACCCCTCTTCGGTCCCCCTCAAACACCGCTCCATCTCGGGGCCACTTGCCGCCACTGGGCCCCTGTTAGGCACTGTGGCCCCTAGCCGACACAAGAGCCCCTCATTGTGTCAGGGACCCCGAACATTGCAGATCGCAGATCCCGGCCCCGTTTCTGCATGGGAAATTGGTCTAAAGAGCTCAGACTGATATGGAACCGACTATTTGATGTTCGTGGTCTATCACCGACTTAGGCACCCACATTGTCTGGGCGGTTCCGCAAACGGTGCAAGAGGACCTCTGACTGATATTTCAGGTCACGAGTCTGCGGGCCGTGATTCTTGTGACCTATAGCCAGTTCTTCGGGCCTCACCGAATACTTTCCTTGGTCGGCCCGAGGCCCTTGCGAGCACAGGGCCCTCTGTTAGGCGCTGTGGGCCCCTGATAGATACAAGGCCCCGACCAGTGTAAATCACTAGCCCCAGCTTTATAGCTGTTTGGGGAGTGGGCCTTCAGGCCCATACTGACAAGGAGCCGACCGCGTGGTACTGGTGGTACCTGACCAACATTTAGGCCCACATCGACTCGGGGGTTCCCGATTGGCACAAAGGGCCCTATGACCGTGATTTGAGAGTCCGTCTTCACATGCAGCGGCCCCGGCATAAGACTACGACCAGTCCTTTATGCCCTTAGACCCTCTAATCACACTCTTGGTCGTCGGACCCGTTGGGCCCTCTAGGCTCTTTGAGCCTCCTCGAGCACTGCCTCTGGCCGACTCGAAGCCCCTTGACAACACAGGCCCCTTCTAAGCACTGTGGGGCCCCGAGCAATGTAAATCGCTGGCTCTGGCTTCGCTCCTGCTTGGGACATGAATCCCTAGGCCCATGCCACCACGGAGCCGACTGTACGTTATTGATGTCTGACCGAGCCTTTATTGACTCAGTGGGTCCCAAATCGGCGCGCAGGGCTCTCTGGCTAACATTGGAGTGTTCAGCCCTGTGGGCCGGGCCCCTAAATGGGACCTTCGACCGGCCTCTCGGGTCCTTCGAGTCCTCAAATCCCGTCCTTAATCGTAGGTTCCGAAGAGCCCTTCAGGCCCCTCGGAGCCTAATGAGGGGGGGGGGGGGGGGGGGTCCTGTGCCCTCCGCCTGCGCTACTGGGTCCAACTCAACATTAAGGAGAGAGCAGAGCTCTTGCAAAAGAACACAGATTCGCCGACGCTCGTGGTTGTGGGCATGATAGGAAGGTCGGCGAAATACGCAGATTCTACTTCCACGTTGTTCGGAATTCGACCGGCCATAATTCCCCAGTGGCTTGCTCTTAAACTATGTCCTGGCACCACGTGGGCGTGGGATGGGAAACAGGCCGCAAACCCATTAGCGAATATTTTATCCGTTTGGTATCTAGGAAAGCGAAGACGGTTACGGCGCAGGTGAAGCGGCAAATGCGACGCAATACGCGTCGCGGGAGTCGTGTGTCTGCGCTGGTTGTGTGATTGAAAGGGGGTGTAGATGTTGCTGTTGTAAAAAAAAAAGTGGGAGTGGGAGATGTGTACGGTGCCGTGCACACAGTTCTGAGTGGAATTTCAGGCTTATTTGCTCATTTTTTTAAAAGCCTCTTGCTTCATTCATTGACGTTATCCTATTCTGCATGGCCAGGTAGCATCAAGTCAGCATACGTGACAACTGGAAGAAAGGTAATGCTGGCGATTCTTTTCGAGTTGCTTGGTTGAATTACATAACATGTTTGCAGCTGTACCACATGTGTGTATTCATCATTGGTAAAGGTTCATCATATTGCAAACCAAACATTTTATTAGTTTTCATGTATTTGTTCCATTCATAATTAGTCGAGATTTATGTGTACACCCACAGAATATGGTGCATTTTGATGAATTGCCTTCAGCACATTTGAATTAGGTTGGCCACAGCACCAAAGTGGTGCAATCCCAGTGAAATAGTTAAGTTAAGCCAAAAGTTTTAACATGATGGAGCTCAGTGCCCACACAACAAAAGGTGTATGTTTTGGTGAACCTGTCTGCAGAAGCAGCAGTGTTGATGCAACAGTTTTCAGCCATTCACCCAAAATTTTTGACAGATGATGGAGCTCAGTGCCCAGACAGCAAAAGATACATGTTTTGATGAAACCATCCAAAGACAGAGCCACATTTATACAACAGTTAGACCATGTATGCTATGGTTCTGAAAGCTCTGAGCTTGGTGTATGATTACCACCATTTTCAGCATAGGGGAAGCCGGTGTTTCAAGGCATTGTGAGTTGCATGGGTAGTTGTAGAGGAGCACACTGAGAACATGTTTTGCATGAAAATAATTTGGAAATTTAGCACAATTTTGAGCTATCTTGATTAAAGTAGGTATGAGATTTGTGGGGATGTTGCCAAATAGGAGTTGGGTACAGTTGATGTATTTTTTACAGACTGGTTCATTCTTATGACTTAGCTGCCCTATGCCAGCCTGCTTTCATTGCTAGCACCAGTTGACTATCTCTGACAAGCTAAATAGAGGGACTCTGCTCCTTAATGGACTCTTATGTAAGACTTGGCATATAAGCTGTGGTTCCTCCCATGGATGAACTTTGGCTATGGCTGAGGCCTCATGTGGCTGCATGATCCCTCTCCAGGATATTGTGCATGGCCCCCCTCCCACTGATGATGTTTGCTGGTATTTGACTTATTTCTGGTCTGCATCAGACTGACAACAGGTTTTTATGGTTGTCTCACAGTGCCCACTCACCTTATCAGGTTCCCTGACTTCTGGATGGGATGAGGCATGCAGGCATGTGCTGACATGCCTTGGGGAGCTAATATACCCTGGATGTAGATGCATGAGCATAGCAGACATGCTTCATGCAATATGCCATGCACTTATGATTGACTCTACTGGCTCTTTAGACATCACTGTTCAGAAAGCAAAGTTGATATATGCCTGCTTCTCTTGCAACCTCTTCAAACATTGAGCAAGAATGACCCCAAAAATTACAATATGACATGCAGTCCTGTAGGGAGGCAAATGATAGCTTGCAGGCAGTGGCAGCGAACTGGGGATGTATTTCCTGATCCCTGTGATCTGTGATTGTGTGCAGGATGACTGAAAAGGCAAGGCATAACAATTAACATTGAGAACATGTGAATATCCCTAATGTCAATGGCTGCTATTCCATGGCAAATCATATCATTTCCACCAAATTGCGCAGTTTGCACAGTCAGGCACAACCCTCCAAAAACAAGATTGGGCTTATTTGCTGATCAGAATTATCATGGTTCAGAATAATTATTTGTTGTGCATGATGACTGTATTGTTAGCTGCATTATATACATAGTTTGTTGTCATAACAGCAATTATGGCTGCCTCAAAATGTCCACTCACATTGGCATCCCTCACCTTTCATCTTGTTATGTTCATGTGCATGCATTCCAATATTTGATGTGCTTTTAATAAGGAGGTATGGTATGTAATTAGTGTGTGTGTGTGCATAATTGGGGCTTTATGACATTCAGTTGAAGAGGCTGTTTGTTGTTGCCTGCCTCTCAACCTGACAGGGAGTGCTTATAATGGGTAAGCACTATGTTTTTGACAAACTTTAACCTTCTGGAGCAAAGGCTGCATGCCTACTGGGATAGTGATTTTGTCATGTGTGATGGTGAATCAGTTCTGGGCAAGTTACATGGGTAGCAAGTCTCTGGCATCTCTGTCCTCTTTGCATTCAGAAAATTGCACTCTATATGACAAGTGGTTCACAATATTATCACCAAATATGTACAAGATAACCTTTGTGTTTCCAAAGCTCTTGTTAGCTGCTGCTTTAAAGAAATGGAATTGGCAGGAACAACCTCATACACTTTCAAAGATTCTGGAGACCACAGGTCATGTACTGGGATGTCGGAAATATTCAAAGATTGGCTGGAGCATCCACATACACTCCCAAAGGTTCTGGAGACTACAGGGCATGTTCAGCACACCAGAAATGTTCAAAGATTGGCTGGAGCAACCAGTAACACTCAAAGGTTCTGGAGACTACGGGACATGTTCAGCACACCGGAAACGTTCGAAGATTGGCGGGAGCAACCATATACACTCAAAGGTTCTGGATACTACAGGGCATGTTCAGCACACTGGATATGTTTGAAGATTGAGGGGAACAACCATTTACACTGTCTCAAAGAATCTGGAGACTACAGGGCACGTTCGACACACCGGAGAAGTTCGAAAGCCGGTGAAAATGACGGAGGGATTCGGGCACTGGCCTTGAAGCCTCGCTCCTAGCCAACACCGCCATGTCTGGGCCATTGTAATGCGATGAGTTTGGATCGACCAAGTTTGGTATGTCCGCGAAGCTGGTTCACACAGGCGTATTGGTTTTTCTATCCTGAAATCGTTCGAGGCAAGCGGAAATGCCCAATTGGTCGCGTACCACGACCGCCAATCTCGAGGCTGCGGGCAAACAGGCCGACAATTACGTTTGGTTTACCGCTGTTCGGCACCTTGTGCGCAATTGAGGCCTTTGCCTTTTATATGGACGGTAGATTCAGAAAGTTTGAGAGGTCTCAGGGGCATGGGACCGCGTGAGCCGTCGAGTGTCTCCAGAGAGATGTTCAGCCAGTATGAGGGCTAAGTTATCCACGTGAAGCGTGACGTCTCTGATCGCGCGGCAGCAGCACCTCCGATCCAGACAGGTTGGGTGGCGCAGCTCACCACTGGCATAGGGCGATGAAGTGACAAGCGCGTGCGGCCACCGGAGCGAGAAGTGCCTAATGCCGGTCACAAGCGCGTGCGGCCACCGGAGCGAGGAGTGCCTAATGCTGGTCACGAGTGCGTGCGGCCTCCGGAGCGAGGAGTGCCCAATACTGGTCACAAGCGCGTGCGGCCACCGGAGCGAGGAGTGCCTAATGCTGGTCACAGGTGCGTGCGACCTCCGGAGCGAGAAGGAGTGCCCAAAACCGGTCACAAGCGCGTGCGGCCATCGGAGCGAGGAGTGTCTGGTGCCGGTCACAAGCGAGTGCGGACACCGGAGCGAGGAGGAGTGCCTAATGCCGGTCACATGTGCTTACGGCCACCGGGGCGAGGAGCAGTGCCAATGCCGGTCACAAGCGCGTGCGGACATCGGAGCGAGGAGTGCCTGATGCCGGTCTCAAGCGCATGCGGCCACCGGAGCGAGGAGGAGTGCCTAATGCCGGTCATAGGTGCGTGCGGCCACCGGAGCGAGGAGGAGTGCATGATGCTGGTCCGCGCTGACTCACCACGTCACGGCGACGCCCATATTGACTCGAGCTAACGGACGGTTCGTGGCGCCAGACGCCGGAAGTTTTGAGGACGTCACTGCTTTAGATAGTGACTGTACACGTCTGATACTCACTGTTACGTGATCCTTCTCAAGGACTGAGCAGTGCGCGTCTGTGCTGTTCGCGATGAGCCCGGGCGGCCTTGTGTCATTCTGTAGACCTAGACCGCTACATGATGCCTTTGTCGTGGTTTGGCCGACAGGTCCCGGCCCGCCCGGAGTGCGCCGGCTGCCGATAATCCGCGAGCAACATGGTGAGCGGCCGCTGACTTCGCCGACACACCCCTCCAGCCGGCGGCCATGTCCAAGCGCAAGAACAAGGTGCTCATCTCGGACAGCGAGGACAGCGACGCCAGCGCCAGCGGCTCCGACCTCGACTCGGTCAGTGGTGGGCGGGTGCCGCGCGCGCGAGGTGCGCGCGCCGACACGGCGGCGCTTGTGTGCAGGCGGACGGACGGCGCACGGCGTTGTGATGCGTCTCGGCATTAGGCGCATCTGCGCCAGTCAGTGTCTACAAGCCGTTGTGATATTGGAAGATGTCGCACCGGATATAGCCTGTGCAGTTTGAAAAAGTTTCTTAACGCTTTTGCAGCACAATGCGGCGGTATGCAGGCATTGCACGAGGCTGATGCCACAGCGTGTTGGTGATAATGACTTCGGTCGTGCGTATTCTTCACACATTGCCGTCAGTTACTGATGTGTCGCAGACGGTGGAGGACTTCGCATGTTATTGATCTTCACCGCATCGCTGCATCTGACCAACCTCTGCCGTGCTGTTTGCGCTCCGTATCGGGCATAAAACACGCGCAATAATCTGCTCTGCGTGGTAACGGTTGTGTCGATATGTGCTGGGAACAGGCAAGGACGCAACATGGTGCGCACCTTTGCTTGTTGTTATGACCTATCAAAGCTGAGAGGCCAAGAACAGATACAAAACGTCAGCAGTCAGTAACGTCTTTGTAGTGTTTGACGGCAATTAAATAAACGAATGATAACCATTTGTTATGACCGTTTTTGCTCAAAACCCTAATGCTACGAGAGACTTCTGCATGAATGGTCTCATCATAAAGCAGTTCGCGACACCCATGTCAAAACTGAGACATCGATTATCGTGTGCCGACGCTCCACCACCGGGATTTTTTTTTGCCGACGTTGTTCTGAGGCTGGAACCGCTCGTCGCTAGGAGCTGTTGTCCCTGGCCAAGAAGAAGCAGCGCCGCCAGGATGCGCCGTCGCCTCCAGCAGCGCCGGCGCCGGCCGCCGCCGACTCGGAGACATCGGACAGCGACGAGGAGTGGGGCTCGGCCGGCGGCAAGGCGCGTCAGAAGGTGGCGCGTCGGCGCGCGCCCGCCCGCCGCAGCTCCGGCTCCTCCTCTGGCTCCGGGTCCGGCTCGGGCTCGGGCTCCGGCTCCGGCAGCGACTCGGAGCCGGGCGCGGCGCCCAAGTCTGAGCCCGAGGAAGGTGCGTCCCGCCTGCCGCTGGTCGTCGCGCGACGTCCAGACGCGTCTCTGGCATGGGCTGAGACAAATCGCGGGAATCGTTTTGGAAGGCTCTTGACGCATGAATATTTACGTCCGACTGAAGTGGCACCTTCATCTGGTATTGGGCATGTATCGCAGTGTCGCCTGCGTATTTTATGCCCAATCGTATACTGAGACTTGACTATCTTTTGGGGTTGACCCAGCCAGCTCCTTACCATACCGTTTGGGATCGACTGGCTGTGGAGGCCAGCCGTGACCGCGTGCTGTGACCGTGCCGGCCGTCACGTGTCGTGTCTGCGCGCCAGGCGAGGTCTCGGACTCGGATGCTGACTCGGCTGAGTTCGACGACGGCCTGGACGAGAACCTGATGGGCGACGACGAGGACCGCGCGCGCATGGAAAAGATGACCGAGAAGGAACGCGAGCAAGAGATCTTCAATCGGCTGGAGAAGCGCGAGGCACTCAAGACCAGGTGAGTCGGCGCGCCGGCCTCCTCCGTGTGCTGAGAGTTCGGGCTGGTTCAATTGTTTGTAAGAAACGCGTTGTTTCAGCTATCTCGCACTGTGTAAAACGGGCTGTTTCTGAAACTGGCAGTTTGTTTCATGTTATGGGGTGAGTGACCTGAATGTTGGTCGGGATGGTCTGCGTATGAAGCTTGCCTCTTTTCTGTTGGTTGAGCCGGCTTGAAACAGTGCCGTGAGCATGGCGCTGGTTAGTGGTGACGAAGCGTCCCTCCTCCTTGGCCATAGGTTCGACATTGAGCGAAAGCTGAAGAACGCCAAAAAGCTGGAGCAGCGCAAGAAGGAGGGCCAGCAGCCGGCACGCGCGCGGCCGCGGCACGAGCCCGAGATAAAGCGCACCACCGACCGCAAGAAGGCCATGGAGGAGAACAAGGAGCGGCAGGACAAAAAGGGCAGCGCGCTCAGCCTGCTGAAGGCGCAGCGGGAGGAGAAGCTGCGCAACGGTGGGTGTTGCACTGGACAGGGTCTGGGCCTGTGGGTCTGACATGGGCCTGTGGGCTTGAGGGGGATGACCCGGTACCGTGCATGCTGTCAGAACCACTGGTGATTTGATCAACACTTTGTGAATATGGTCACACGCCTATCATGCACGCATGCATATGGTGTAATGTGTTGTCCCTTGTGCCCACCTTTCTACCGTATCACACGGCAGTACGAGGCTTCTCGCCTCACCTCACCTCGGTAACCAGTGCCGGAAAATGTTAACACGACGCACCGTACAAATACTAGTGCATGTCAATACCGGTCACCCACGGCACCATTGAGTGGCTTATTACCTCTGAAAGCTGATGATTAAAGCTGATGATGCTGGGAATTTGCCGTGAGTCGGATGTGCTCTTGGAGCCTAGTGGGATCAATTCGCCACCTGTTGATACAATGGGTGCCGCTCAAGTCTCGAGTTTTACCACGTCACGTCCGGGTCGGTTCGACGTGCGGACCGACCACGGAGTAGCCCACGTCTTGGAGCTTTGTCGCCCGCCGTCCCCGCGTATCAGCCCACTGGGCCTGTCACCTCTACCGACACCCACTGACCCCGTCCCCTCGCTCCGTCCCCACCCGCCGACCGTACCTAATGACTCCGTCCCCTCTCTACCGACACCCACTGACCCCGTCCCCTCGCTCCGTCCCCACCCGCCGACCGCGCCTAATGGTGCCGTCCCTCCTTCCGTCGACCGCTGACCCCTTCCCCCGCGCTCCGCCCCCACCCGCCGACTGTGCCCGCTGACTCCGTCCCCTCTACCGACGATCGCTGACCCCGTCCCCCTCGCTCCGCCCCCCACCCGCCGACCATGCCTAATGATACCGTCCCCCTTGCGACGACCGCTGACCCCGTCCCCCCTCGCTCCCTTCGCTCCGCCCCCTCTCCGCGCCTTTGCTCCGCCCCCGCCCGCTGACTCGGTCCGCTCACGGCCGCGCAGCCGAGGAGCGCGAGCGGCGCGTCGAGGAGCAGGAGCGGCGGCGGCGCGACCAGGGCCAGGCCTCGACGGCGGCCGCCCCCGCCGAGGCCTCGGACGGCGACTCGGACACGGAGCGGCGCGCCAAGGGCAGCCGCCTGCACACGACCGACGTGTACAGCGACGACAGCGGCTCGAGCGACGACGAGCGGCCGTCGCGCCGGCGCAGCAGCAGCGCCGAGTCCGACACCGACCGCGGCTCCAAGCGCGCCCAGCCCAAGAAGGCGCAGCAGGTGAAGAGCCGCGAGGACCTGCTCAAGATTAGGGTGTCGCGACACCGGCTCGAGAAGTGAGTGCGCTGGCCGGGAGCGGTGCTGGGCGGCGGGTGGGCGTGGCGAGCGCGGTCGGGAGGGTGCTCTGCTCCGCGAGGTGTCTGGTGTGCAACTGACGCGACGTTGAGCCCCCTTTGAAGGCATTATCATGCGAATGTGATGTGCGGTGCTCGAGACCCTTTGTGGTGGTCTTCGATTGATTAGTATCGGTAGCACAAGTGCACCTCCATGCATGCTTTACCGTTGATATGTCCCGGATGTTTTCACGTGTTGTATGCTTTCATCGCTCTTATAATCTGCAACGCTGTTTCGGCCGCCCGCTCCCGTCACATTTCCCAACTACCGGGCGAGACCTTCCCGTGGCCTTGCGCAGCTCTGACCGGTCACTCCGCGTCCCAGCTGGTGCCACGCACCCTTCTTCGGCGACACGGTGCGCGGCTGCTTCGTGCGCGTGGGCATCGGCAACAACAACACGGGCCGGCCGGTGTACCGCGTGGCCGAGATCACCGGCATCTGCGAGACGGCCAAGGTGTACCAGCTCGGCAGCACGCGCACAAACAAGGGACTCCGGCTCAGGTGGGAGGCTGGCGTCGGCACGGGCTCGGCCACGGGAACTGGTCAGACGCTGCAGTAGCAGCAGGGCGCTGTCACATTTACCAGAGCGTGTGTTTTCTTGGAGTGCGTAGATTGTCTGTGGTTATAGTGTCGATGGATTGAGGTCACTGTCTGTCGATCTGGTTTATCAACCCTGCTCTTCGTGTAGCCGTTCTCCTGTGGGTGCATGCGGGCGGTCTGGGCCCCTGAATGTCGCAGCCTGTCGATGTGACCGTCGCCGGGCTGTGTGCCGCCCGCCCACAGGCGGTGGGGGCCGCCCCAGGTGGGGTCTCACCACCGCCGAGTGCAGGTTCGCTCCGCCCGGTGGAGTGACCGCTCGCCGTGTGCCGCAGACATGGCGGCCAGGAGCGAGTGTTCCGCCTCGAGTTCGTCAGCAATCAGGAGTTCACCGAGACCGAGTTCTCCAAGTGGGTGGAGATGTGTGCCATGCAGGATGTAGAGCTGCCCACCATGGAGCAAGTGGAAAAGAAAATGGCCGACATGAAGACCGCCAAGAACTACACATACAAAGACTCCGATATAGATAAGGTAGAGCTGTTGTTTGTCGCTGACCTGCTGCCGAGTGGCAGCCAATGGTGGTGGGGGGCTGTGCTGGCCAGCCCGTTGTGCTGTCGTATGGGTCACATCTCCCAGTCCTTCGACTGTCTTTCCTCCGTGCCTGTGTGAGCATGCATGATTGGCTACATTATCCAGGACATTTTGTGGAATTTCATAGCTGTTTAAGTCGCAACCGTGCAGGTCACTTGTGATCGTAGCGCGTTGTGGGCGCCGTGCCCATGGGCGCAGTGCGAGTGCTTTACTGACTGTCTGCGGCCGGTGGCTGTGGCGAACTGACGGTCGGTGCATGGCGCAGATTATTTCAGAGAAGTCGCGCTTCAAGCAGAATCCCACCAACTTCGCCATGAAGAAGAGCCAGCTGATGAAGGTGCGGGAGATGGCGCAGTCCCAGGGCGACGAGGGCACAGTCGACAAGATCAACCAGGCAAGTCCAGTCTGCTGTTGTCGACAACGGCTTAATGTGTGCCGAGACTCTCGGCATACGCGTATGCCGTGGACCGTAGTCTCGACTCGAGACCATAGTCGACGAAATGAACCCCATCGCATTCGACGTCTCAAACTATGATTGGTATTTGCATCGTCCTGTCCCCGTCACGTTACGAACCTGTGTTTTGTGCCGTCGCCACGCCCGCTGTATTCGCGTCCAGATGATGCCGGATGATTTGCGTTGAGTTGACTCCTCGCGTAGTGGCTAGAGCACAGGCGGGCCCAAACGCACCACGAATGACGCCATCCGTATTAGGTGCGGACTGCTCATCCACGTGGCCAGGTGTATGATGGAACCATCAACCCAGGCTGCAGAGTGTAATCATTCTGCAACCTTTGCTGTGACACATGGTGGGCGTGTGCTCAGGCGGGCTCCAAAGGTATTGGCTAAACCGCATCAGTGATCATCCAAAGCGCTGGTCACTAGAGAGTTCCGCATGCTCCTGACTGGCGTCCGCTGAGAACCGTCGGCGGCCGTTGCCTGACCCTGACCCCGCGGACCGCTGGTCCTGCTCACCTGTGACCCCGCGGACCGCTGGCCCTGCTCACCTGTGACCTCGCGGATCGCTGGCCCTGTTCACCTGCGACCTCTCCGAATCTTGACCCTGCCGGCCACGCCGCAGGAGCTCAATACGCTGGAGGAGCGCGCCCAGGAGCTGGACCAGCGGCGAACGGGCAGTATCCAGAGCATCGCCTACATCAACGAGCGCAACCGCAAGCGCAACGTGGAGGAGGCCGAGAAGGCCATCATGGTGTGGACTGGGGGAGGGGAGCGTGAACGCTGCCGTGGCCGAGTGGTCGGCACGCGAGTGGGAGCTGGACCGGCAGGCGGTTAGAATTGGCGGCGGACCTCAGATACTCAGCGGGGTGGTTCGATGCAGCGTGCTGACTCTATTCCTGTAGTACGTCGTAGGTCTCATCACTGTCCGGACGCCCCGGAGCAAGAGGAGAGACTTCTGTTGATAGTCCAACGGAAGAATGTACCATCGCCCAGGATGATTTGTGATTTCATATGCGTATCCGTCGAGTGACACAGCTGCTGTTGAGAATACAGCTGCTCGGCTACCATTGCCGGGTCCGCATGCCGGTCAACCACAATGATACCACCGTCCGTTTGCGTAGTCCCAGTGCATGTCTCGTAATAGACCAATCCCTACGTGCTGCATACTGCATCGCTGCTGGTTCTCCTTTCTTCCCTGCGGGAGGAGCTGCGACTGGCGGCGGACAGCGGGTCGTACGCGCCACTGACCCCGCTTTGTCTCCCTGCAGGAGGAGCCGCGACTGACGGCGGACAGCGGGTTGCACGTGCCGCTAACCCCGCTCTGTCTCCCTGCAGGAGGAGCTGCGCCTGACGGGCGGACAGCGGGTCTCACGCGCCACTGACCCCACCCTGTCTCCCCGCAGGAGAGGCCGCGACTAACGGTGGACAGCGGGTCGCACGTGCCACTAACCCCGCCCCGTCTCCCTGCAGGAGGAGCCGCAACTGACGGCGGACAGCGGGTCGCACGCGCCACTGACCCCGCCTTGTCTCCGTGCAGGAGGAGCTGCGCCTGACGGGCGGACAGCGGGTCGCACGCGCGACTGACCCCGCCCTGTCTCCCTGCAGGAGGAGCCGCAACTGACGGCGGACAGCGGGTCGCACGCGCCGCTGACCCCGCCCCGTCTCCCTGCAGGAGGAGCTGCGCCTGACGGGCGGACAGCGGGTCGCACGTGCCACTGACCCCGCCCTATCTCCCTGCAGGAGGAGCTGCGCCTGACGGGCGGACAACGGGCAGAGGACCCGTTCACTCGCCGCTGGTCGCGGCCCAAGCTCATGTCGGCGGGCAACAAGCGCGAGGCGGAGGTGGCCACCAGCGCCGAGATGCTCAAGCAGATGGAGGAGCAGCGGCGCGTACAGCAGGAGCTCAAGAAACAGGTCTGACAGCCTGCGAGCCTAGAAGGGGGGGGGGGGGGAGCGACAGTGACGGTTGGCTGACGGACATCTGTCATGGAACTGCATGTTTTCATTTGTCAGTCGGGTATTGTGTTTAAGTTCAGGTTTGGGTGTGTTTGGTTAGCATGATGTCGCAAAGCTGGTGTCTAGTTCTTGTTTCTGGAACTGCGCGCTAACAGACGCATGTTTTGGGTATAGGAAGAAGAGGAGAAGAAAAAGCAAGAAGAGCTTCAAAGAAAGAAAGAAAAGGAGAAGGCTAGAAAAACCGAGGAGCCTAATGATATGTTTGACGCCCATAATTTTGAAATCAAGATCGATCTAGGTGCTCCTATGCCATGTAAGTTCGTGTGGTACAAGTAATTACTGGAACTTTCACATTAGCTTCATCGTCATGCTGATTGTCACACTTTTCTGTTGAAATGATTGCGCAAATTTTCCTTTAGTACATAATGTGTGAGTGGTTTAAGTGGATCGGAAAAGTTTCGACCATCACATGCAACGCAGACGGGATTTTAGCTAACGCGGAGTTTCGTCCGATGTGACATGTCCACACGTGACGTCAGCGGCGAGTTCCGGTTGGACCGCGTTGCCAGTCTCGCCCGCGCACCGACCGGCCGGCCACCGGCCGTAGGCTACCACGCTCTCCCGTCACTTCCCGAGGACTGACCGACCCTCTCCGGACAGCGCAAACGATGACGAGCAGCGTGACGCCGAAGCTGCCGCGGCCGCTGGAGAGCGTCACGCCGCGCCGCTCGCTCAACCTGGAGGACTACAAGAAGAAGCGCGGCCTCATCTAGGCGGGCCGGCGGCGGCGGACGCCTCGGGTGGGCACCGTCGGCCGGCCGGCCGGCAGCGGGGCGTCGCCGGCGTCGCGAGCCGAGGGTCGCGGCCCGACAACGGGCTGCCAGGGCCGGACGACGTCCCGGGGAACGGCTGACACGCCGGTGACGGGCCGTCGCGCGGTGACTGCGACCCGACGCCAGGTCACCGGGCGGTGACCGCGACCCGACGCCAGGTCACCGGGCGGCGACGAGCGTTTGGTGACGAGACCGGCGCCAGCGCGCCGAGGCGTGAGGAGGCTCGTTCTGGCCTCGCTCGCGCCGCACACGGACTGGTGGGGCCTGCGTGCCCCTGCGTGCCTCGCCCCCTTCCTCTCTCACTCTCTCCTTAGGTCGTCGACGCGCTGCGGGGATGACTCCGTATGGGGCTGCCATCGATGTGTAGACGAAATGTGCCGCCCTTTCTGGTGAGGCGGGCGACACCCGACCGGGCGTTGCCGCCCGTGTTTTGTTTTAGAAGGTTCCGCCATCGCGCCGGAATGAACTGTTCTGTACATGGTCGATCATGCACCCGTTGCGCTAGCACCTAATACAGATGCGACGTTAGGCATGTGAGTGGCGTTTACGGGTCGTTGTCCCGTGCGGAAGAGTCTGTGGAGACATCACAGTCCGGCTAGGAGTGGCATCTCGCTGAGGCAAGCTGAGTCGATCCGCCGAGGGCAGCGAAGAAGCCACGACATTCGGGCCGGATTTGTTGGTCCGAGCGTGTAATCAATTGCGTCAGATTCGATTTGTGAGCTGGTCTAGTCGGGTGAGTGTGCGCGGGTCGCCACACGGGGGAGGGTTTGGCGGGTCGCGCCTTCGCCCGCTCTCAGGGTGCGCGGGTCGCCACACGAGGGAGGGTTTGGCGGGCCGTGCCTTCCCTCCCCCCCCCCCCTCTCAGGGCGCGAGGGTCGTCACATGAGGGAGGGCTTAGCGGGCCGCGCCTTCGCCCGCCCTCAGGCAAGGGCGGATCCATTCGGTTCAGGTGACATTTCCAATTATAGTTTGGATTTGACAATTCAGAAAGGTACCCTGATTTTCGAAAAATTTTAGGATTTTGCTTCCCATTTTCTACCAGAACAAGCATAAAAACCGCTTGGTTTTCTTCAACATACCAAAATTTATTTTGTTCTGGTTGGGCCATGTTGACAGGGGACAAGTCCCGGTTCCTCCCCCTTGGGCTCACCCCGGATTTTTTTGGATGAATTCTCAGAAAACCCATCGTCTCTCAGCAAGGCACCGCAGGTGTTATAAACGGGGAGGTGAAAAGCACCTGCATCCGACTTTGCCTGTGAGGGATTTGTTCCCTCAGTTTCAGTTAATGAATGAGCATTTTTCGCACTCGCTCCGTGACAGGTGCTGGACCTATCAAAACCACGCTCTTTTCTAAGTTGACGTAGAGCGATTACAGTAATTGGTCACATAGCAACTTAAGACCTCCATTCATACCGAAGCAACGGTGACGTCATTTGCACTATTATATCTTCCGTCGCAAACCTGTGGACTACGATGCCATAATGGAAGCTTTACTATATGTATAGTGCCACGCCTCCAAATGGCCTATGCTCGGTGTATTGGCTCCTTCGCCGACCAAAACTTGAAGACGTTCCTTTTTCATGCAATGAAAGCTTTGCACCGTAGGCGCAGTCTTCAATTCCGCAAAAAGCTTGGACGTGCCCCTGCACGTCACGGACCACGATGTTACGGCCATAACTTCCAGACATGATCAGGATTTGGGGTCCACCGACAGCTTACAGTCACTTGAATCCCATAATTAAGTGTTAGCATAGCAAAGTGATATTTAACCGAGTTTTTATATGACTGAAAGCTTAAATTTCGAAGAAAATCGGCTAACCTGTGTCACATAAACAAAAATGAGTGTACAGCGAAAGGAGAAAACTTCTGTCAAAGAAAGCTCCTAGAAAGAAAGACATCAGAAGAACATGCCACAAGGTTCTACGTATCTATCTAAAGAAATGTTTTTTTTGTCGTCCCATCGACTTTCAAAATACTTCAGGATGCCCCTGGACCTCCAATTGTTTTTCCTCTTTATGGGTTCCGAAAAGTCGCCACGCCCTCGCGTGAAGGAGCTTCGCTGCGTTAGACGTATCGTAAGTGAATGGTTGTATTGCCTTAATCTATCCGTCAAAATAGCTCAGAATCTGCTTGTTCATATTTCTCTACCAAAATCTAATAGTTTTGAAGTCAACTGCCAAATAATTTTAGCATATAATTGATATGGACTAAAAGTTGGGATTATTCGCAACTTTGGCAGACTTTTAGATGCGATAGCCTTATCTGCGGTACGCCCTCGAGACGACCGGTGGCGCTGTAACGGGAAGTGGGAGTGGCAGCGCGCCAGTTGTAATCAGGGAATAAGTGAGGGATTATCCGGGTGGGGTCGAAAAAATACAGCAATGGTACGTACACTCAGGTTCAGTGATGCATGTAGTGGCTCTCGTGGAAGCGTGAGGGTGAGGTGTGGTGCCACACAATGCTGCAGTGGTTGAGGTAGATTTGGCTGTGGAGATGCGCCAGTGTTCCAGCCTCTATTCATTGCAATAGGGTTCCATATTTGTGTATTTTGGGAGGCAGGTCCGACTGTGATCTGTGCACATTCATCACCACACTTCATGTGTACAGAATTCATGCAACTGCTCAAACATAATGGAGAACACTGATGGGTATTTGCCAGTGAATGCTGAACTTTTCCCTGTGGCCTCATGTGGGTCCTGGTTTCCATCAGTGCTATACCATCATTAAAATTGTTGTTTTGAGTGTTCACCCATTTGTATGGTGTTCACAAATATTGTATTCATGCATCAACAAAGCTGTGGAAGGTATGAATGGTGGCAAATTTTTGTGCTCAATGTCATTGCAGAGCATGAGTCATCAGACATGACTCACCCTGTCAGTGGTTGTGCCCCAAACAAGTAATTTTTGCAACCAAAGTAAGACCAATGTCATGTGTTGTTACTATCACCTCATGCTGAGTTTATTTGCTTCAACACAAATGACTGGAGTGGCATTGAAACCAGTGATGTTGCATTTTTGGTACAGTACATGTCATAATGCAGGCCATCTACAAGAAACAGACAATACCTAAGGCAGTGTAGCCTAACCCAATGCATCCTTATCAAATATAACCAAACTTAATCTAACCTATCAAAATCTAACCAAAGCTGAAGTAAAATAATCCTAACCCATGCTTCTGCCCATCATTTATTTATAGGTTTGCAAGTCACAGAAGAAGTATATTTACCTTGTCAGATAGCTTATTCAGAACTGCATAGATATGGCTGTTGTATTTTAGATGAATGGTGTCAATGATTACATTCATTAGCAGCATTTCATTCTTGTTGCTGTGAAATGAATTTGTAAAATTCTCTTTGTTTCCATCACTATGTCTATTCTGTACTTCTATTGTTCCTTGTGTTCAGCCATGCAGACAAAGTACTTTTGTTCTGTTAAGAATATGTTGTTTTTTATGCAGTTCTGAAGAAGCAACAGCAAAAATGCTGTTCACTTCTTATTGGGTTGCCTTATTACTCTCCTTTTCTTCCAAATGTTATTACTAATATCCTATATTCAGTACAGTTATCAGCATCTGAACTCCATTCTGAATAAAGAAAAACTAGTGGGTATCTATATTTCAGTCACATGATCTTTCAGAAGCTGGCATTTCTGCTGTGAAGTTGATATTACCTAGGGCATGGGTGGTCAGCAATATTCATTCTTTACTGGGATGTATAAAACATTGTTTTACATCATGTCTAAGAGAATGAACATTTTTGTTGTATTGGGTGATGACTGTTGCAATCATAGCTGAAGCCTTTCCATTGAAATATAATGCTTTGTCAGTGAACAGTACTCATTTTTATCTCAAGGGGTTGATGGATATCTCTAAGATATCTAGATATCTAGATATATCAAAGAGAGGTTGATGGATAAGCAAAGGGAACTAGTGTTGGTGCAGTCAGCATACTGCTTCAAACTGCAAACCATCAGACATTGGTAGATCAATTTCTTCTTTATCTTTGCATCTCTCTGTGCAAATGGTCTATGCCACTTGTTTAAACATAGGTTTGAAACATGTAACAATTAAGCATGGTTTGAAATTATCAGTCACCTGCCACACTTATATGCTATACTTCAAAGGTGATTTTGTGGAAATTTGGTTGGCTTCATGAACTTTTTATCCTCCAGCACTTGCAGGCATTAAAATTTTTACATGTTTGGATTTCAGCATATCTGGAAATCATCAGAATGCATATAGTAGTTGTTGCTGTGTTCTTACCACCCTTGTTTGTTGCCTGTCCTTTTTGGTGATGCAAAATGTGCAACACTGTGATGTGCCCATAGTGGGTGAGGATCAGGGCTCCTGCTTGTGATATCAGCATTAAGAACTTGTAGAGTCAGATATCCTGAACTGTTTTGGCAGGCACCATTTGGTTGCTCACATTGGGAATTAGGTCCCATTGTTTAACAGGACTGTTGTTATAGAATGCCAGTCATACAGGGGAGTAGTGGCTCACATGTACCCAGGATGGAGACAGTGACCCAGTAGTGGCTCACATGTATCCAGCATGGAGGCAGTGACCCAGCAGTGGCTCACACATACCCAGCATGGAAGCAGTGACCCAGCAGTGGCTTACATATACCCAGCATGCAGGCAGTGACCCAGCAGTGGCTCACATGTACCCAGCATGGAGGCAGTGACCCAGCAGTGGCTCACACATACCCAGCATGGAGGCAGTGACCCAGCAGGGGCTCACATATACCCAGCATGCAGGCAGTGACCCAGCAGTGGCTCACATATACCCAGCATGGAGGCAGTGACCCAGCAGTGGCTCATACATACCCAGCATACAGGCAGTGACCCAGCAGTGGCTCACATATACCCAGCATGCAGACAGTGACCCAAATATGCAATAAATAATAGGGTGCGTGGTAACAAAAGGAACACCTGAATGTCATTTGAACCTTAAGAGCATGCAATGGGACCTTGGATTATGTACATGGTTTGTACATACAAGTACATTTATACATACATACACACAAGTACATACATTGTACATACAAGTGCCAAAGTATGTGATGGCTCCCACTGGGCAGGAAAAATATTTACACCTCAAGACTGAGTTCGGGACACAGTGTTGGCAGTGGTTCAGTGCACTTCACGATCCTTGCAAGACTTGTAACAGTGGTGACCTCAATGCTTTTGCATCGATCGCAAAGCGGTCGGAAGGCCATCGCTATCGCAATACCTGCCTCCGTGTGTCGGCCGGCCAGAAGCCCGCCTAGTCCGTGTGTTGGCCGGGCAGTGTGCTGACGCTCGGGCCTCGCTGCAGGCGTCCGGTGTGTCCGTATCGGACGCGTGCAAGACGGTGTTTGACGAGGTGAAGAAGGCCAAGAAGCACCGCTACGTGGTGTTCATCATCCAGGGCGACACGCTGATCGACGTGGAGGCAATCGGCGACCGCGACGCCACCTACGAGGACTTCGTCGCCGACATCCAGAAGGCTGGCAAGGGTCACTGTCGGTACGGCCTGTTTGACTACGAGTACCTGCACTCGGTCCAGGGCGCCTCGGAGGTGAGTGTGCCCGTCTGCCCGCCGGCGGTCCGGTACCCGCCTGCGGGTACCGGCGACAGTCGAGTCACACGAGCCTCGCCCCCCCCCCCCCCCCCCCGAAACCTGCCGGTGCCGAGTCGGCGAGCTTTGGCTGGTGCCGGCGCCGGTACAAGCTCTCGACGCGTCCAGTGCAGGCGTGCGTTGCGTAGCACCTGTTCCGAACGGACTGCCGTGCGCTATTCTGCCGCTGAAGTGACGCCGCGCTGGCCAGTCGCCTTCGACAGCCGTTCCAGCGGCCGGGCTGCCCCGTGCCAGCTGGCGGCGGACTGGCTTCAGACGCTGGTAGCGCACGGGGGCACGCGACGTGAACGGGCCGCAGTCTTGGGCCGTCGGCACCGTGTCGCCGTGCCCGACGGCGGGCGCCCGGAGGGGAACCGGCGGCGGCGGGGGCCGCCAACAGCCGGGATGTGGTCGCCGCCCTACCGCGCTGGCTATTTCGGCGGAGAAGCAGTGCTCAGGTGGAGGTTTGAAAGGGACCTCTGGTGCGAGGAGAGTTCAGACACCGCCAGGTCAGACACCGCCAGGTCAGACACCGCCAGGTCAGACACCGCCAGGTCAGACACCGCCGGGTCAGACACCGCCAGGTCAGGCACCGCCAGGTCAGACACCGCCAGGTCAGGCACCGCCAGGCAGGCACCGCCAGGTCAGACACCGCCAGGCAGGCACCGCCAGGCAGACACCGCCAGGTCAGACACCGCCAGGTCAGGCACCGCCAGGTCAGGCACCGCCAGGTCAGACACCGCTCTAGTATTTGCGGCGGCGATTTAGTTCCGGCGTCGGTGTCACAGTACTAAGAACTCACGTCTCTCACCTGGTTAGTCTTGTCGACGCTGCTGGTGAAGCCACATGCACCAAGTGCTGGTGTTAAGGGGCTTGTGTTGTGGTGCCGGGGTGTATTTTTGGACGTTGGGGACTTGGCGCGCGTTTGAATAAAGACGTCCTGTTAATGAGTTTACGGGTATTGTAGTTTCATTCTTCCAATGCACAGGTTGGCATCCTTGTCCCGCGTTTAGTTTTAGACTTATACGGGATTTCCTCTGGTTGCGGACTTTAAGTACTCTTATTTGACTTCGTCCAGTTTTTTTCGATCTTTTCAGCGTGGGGTCTTTTTCGAGTCGCGTACTATGCACCATGTATGGGACGTATGTACGGCAGACTGTGGCAGTTGTTCGGCCGGTGTCCGGCGCGTGTGTGTGCTGCTTCGTGGCTTCAGGTCGGACTACCGGCCTTGTCCCCAGTCATCTTCTCCCCCCGTAGCGATCATCATGCGAGGTGGCTCTGCTGAATGACGAAAACAAGGCGAATGCGCAGCAAATTAGATCTAAAATTTGTCATTGTCTTCAAAAATGTCATGTACTATTTCCTTTCATTATTTGTTAGGGTATTCATGTCTAGCCGATTTATCAAAACACCTCAAGCCAAGTTCAAGGCTAGAACTGCATGCTATCGCAGCGCAAAAATCGTACGTTTTCAGCTGGGGCTTCCTGCAAAGCGTGTGAACTACCTCACACCACCATCAGGAAACCTCCTGCACACAGCACGTTAAAAGCCAGTAAAGACCTCCACCTGCAAAGGTTGACAGATGAGCGTGCTGGGCATGGGGAAGAATCTCATCACGTGTGACCTCGAACGGTGACCTTGGCGGCTCACGCTGGGTCGCGGCGTGGTGCGGAGCCAACCGCCTGCTGCAGACCAACGCCATATTTGGGCAAGCGCTTTGAAGACAATCCCAACGACATTTCGTATTTCGTTTGATATCTCGAGTGTTATTCAACGTGCTGCTCGTATTTTCTTTCGTAATAACGGGCGGGTGTGGCGGGATTATTCAGGGACGATGAAGATTTGCGGGTACTTCCAATGCCAGGCGATGAGAGAAAGGCGAGGGCCCGGTGCGCCTGGTAATCACCGCAGGTCCCAGGCTTTTGGAAACTCTTAAGAAGCGGGTCCCCAAAAAGTTAAAATCAAAACTAATCCAGATCTCCCCCAGGCTGCACCTTTTATCCACTGGTCATCAGTGCGTTAAAGTATTATGATTCGCCTAAACGTTGCTTGACCCCACATTTTTTACATTCAAGAGAGGACGATGTGAAAAACTCAACGTGAGAGATTAATAGTTGCGAAAGCGGCCGACAGTCTCACTCGAAGCACTGTCATCGACGTCCGTCACCAACAAGTGCGCGCATGCTCAACTGCTCCGTACGAGGAGTGTCCGACTAATCAGCTGTTGTGGTCCGTAGAGATAGCTCGTTTCCTCTCTTGCTTCCGGTTGCAGGTTCACAATAAATGAGGCTCGTGCGCTATGTGACGGACGCGACTCCGCTGTTGCGGGACGACTGATCCCGTGTTAATCCTGGTTAAGAATGTATCTTGGTGCATGCGTATGTGTTGGAGTGGGCTGAACGATGATTTAGCTGATTTATCTCCGGGTTGCAACAGGAGTTCAAAAGAATCGACTGTACCGTAGCCGAACGAAAAGTTGGCCTATTCCGTTGTTGATTCTGATTCCGACCAGAATGATACGCAATGATGGCCGTGGTTTCCTCTTTTTTAGTGACGTGGTTAAAGAGTGTTCCATATTTACATGGGGTTTTGAACAGAAAAAGACATCTTGAAGACCTCTCGGTGCTGTTCGCGATCTTGTCCTATGCTATAATTTATGTGTGTTACAGCTACGAAAGACGATCGCAGACAATCGTCTGGGATCCCTTCAAACACGCATTTAAATGGGACAATCAAGGTTTAACACACACAGTATGTCAGACAAGCTCATGGTATCGAACCTGACGGTTCTAAGTAACGACTTAATGCTGTTGGCTTCACGTATGAAACTATGTGAGGTTCGAAAAGCTTAAGTGATTATTGGAATTGACGTCGGAAAGTTCAATAGATTTTCGGTCGACACACCGTTGAAGCCCGTGCCATACATTTCCAGCGGACCGAACATGTTTGCTGGCTGTCCATGAAAGTACTACGTGACCTGAAAGGCACGCTATGTAGGCCCAGCCCAATACCCTTTGATAGGTCATTCACGGTTTATAGGGTGAACAAGTAATTGGACAAAAGCCAATGGCCCATGCAAAAATATAGAGCATTGACAAGTTTACCACTTATTGTTCCTCATTATTATTGTCATCGTTTGCTGCAACTATTCGTCGTGGATACAGAAGTCAGATTGGTGAGGGCAGCTGTTCGAGCCGGCTTCTGTGGAGGCCACGGTACGGTGGTTGGCGATATGGTGTGTTCTGAATGTCCCGTCGGCGAGCGTGGCGATGGCGGAGTTCACGGTCCACCGACGTACCGTTGGTCCGCCATGACCGGCGAACCGGCTGTGTTGCCACCTGTGACCTCCCCATAGTGCCTGTGAATCTGTGTTGCTTGCGGGTGGGTCAGTTCTTAGCGTGACTGCGGGCCTCCTGGTTTTCGGCCACAGTGATGTCCAGTCGGAGAAGAGGTGGCGTCTTCTGTAAGTCTGATGCACTATGTCGTTCTCCCTCTACAGCCGACCAAGAAGCAGAAGTTGTTCTTGATGCTATGGTGCCCGGACGATGCCAAGATCAAGGCGAAGATGCTGTACTCGTCCAGTTTTGACGCTCTGAAGAAGGCGTTAACAGGCGTGGCCAAATACGTGGAGGTGAGTTTGACTGGGCTAGACGCGGCCGGTCGCCGCTCGGGATGCAGGTGGCCCGGTGTGCCGATCTCAGGCGCTGCTGGCGTGGTCGTCGTAGCAAATGCGATCATGTCAAAACTTGCTAACCGCGTCAAGTAATTCATAATATGAAAACAATCATATGATGATCATGATTATACTCATCAACATCGTGATCAACTATTATCATTTACGTCAAATGATAATGTTGGCCGCATTTGATTTCTGGTTTTGCATTAATACCGTGGTATAATAGGAAGGCGGGTGTATCTATGTCCCTATAGTATCCGCCACCCCGCCTGGTGCAGTGGGATGGATGGAAAAAGATAACCGTCGTTAAGCTGGATGTGTGGTATGTGGGCCGTCGGTCCATGTCATGGGACGTGAGGGTCATGCGCGCCCCAGTTTGACCTGCTCAGTGCGATGAGAGCAACACTTCCGTGTATCAGTAAAACGCGCCGTGTTCACAGGCCACGGACTCGTCCGAGATCTCCCGCGAGGAGGTGGAGAACAAGCTGAGGCAAAACGACCGCATGTAGGCGGCGCGCGCCTCGCCGCCGACGCCGGGCCGGGCCGAGCCGGGCCGGGCTGGACCAGGTGGCGGGCGACGGCCGGCCCTCATTCCCGCTCTTCCAGACCGGAGGACGACCACCGGGCCGCGCCGCGTCCGTCCGCCGCTGCATAGCCGCGTGGCTCGCACGCAAATTCCGCCGCGAGTGACCGGAGGTGGTCTCCGGCGTATTTAGGCCGCTTGGCTTCGAGATCAGTAGGGCGGGGTCGGGTGAGGCGGTACCACGCGGGCCTGCTTGAGTGTGGGAGGGATGACAGAGCCACGTGCGCGCATTTACTGTGACGATTTTTCTATTTTCAATTGTATTAATCAACCATGCGAGTCGAATAAACACTTTTTGCGTCGTGAGTGTATCGGTGGTGGTGCCCCGCGCTGCGCAGTTCTGAGCGAGGGTGTCTGTCGGCACGGTATCGCGACCTGTCACGGCCGACTAGATTTGCGCGTCTTCTCCAGTCTGTTTAACCTCGGGAGTTGGGCGCCTGTATCCCCTCAGCAATCGGCTGATCGAAAGGCAGCAATCGGGCTTGGCCCCTGTCATTGCCGGCGTTGACCGTGCCGTAAATCTACATCACTAGATCGGACACGGCAGCTGATGGGCCCATTCGCCAAGTCCAGCGGTGAACTCATCTAGCGTGACACGTTCATGTGCAGATGGCTGTTACAGAGCGAAATGAAAGCATGCATGCTGTGGGAGAACAGCCGCATCTTAACGTCGGTATGGCAGTCCCATCAGTTTTGAGCCCCACTGTCTGCATTATATGACAAGGAAGATGAATTGAGTACATAGCTATGCAGCACACTAACGTGTTTCCTGCGATTTTCCTGACGCCTCTTTGCCAGCTGCTGGACATTTGCTCAGCAAATTTATACGGTTGTCACTGGGAAGTGGGAACATAAATTTATGACCATGAATCTGCTCTCACCCTAGCAGGAAGGGCGGGCACCACGGGAAACTGAGCCCCGTACCTCTAGTTCTCCAGGCGTACACCGGTACCATCTGAGGAAATCCCGAGATGCGGGGAGCTGAGCCCGTACCTCTGGTTCTCCAGACGTACACCGGTACCATCTGGGGAAATCCCGAGGTACGGGGAACTGAGTCCTGTACCTCTGGTTCTCCCGAGATACACCGGTACCATCTGGGGAAATCCCGAGGTGCGGGGAGCTGAGCCCCGTACCTCTGGTTCTCCAGACGTACACCGGTACCATCTGGGGAAATCCCGAGGTACGGGGAGCTGAGCCCCGTACGTCTGGTTCTCCAGAGGTACACCGCTACCATCTGGGGAAATCCCGAGGTACGGGGAGCTGAGCCCCGTACCTCTGGTTCTCCAGACGTACACCGGTACCATCTGGGGAAATCCCGAGGTACGGGGAGCTGAGCCCCGTACGTCTGGTTCTCCAGAGGTACACCGGTACCATCTGGGGAAATCCCGAGGTACGGGGAGCAGAGCCCCGTACGTCTGGTTCTCCAGAGGTACACCGCTACCATCTGGGGAAATCCCGAGGTACGGGGAGCTGAGCCCCGTACGTCTGGTTCTCCAGAGGTACACCGGTACCATCTGGGGAAATCCCGAGGTACGGGGAGCTGAGCCCCGTACGTCTGGTTCTCCAGAGGTACACCGGTACCATCTGGGGAAATCCCGAGGTGCGGGGAGCTGAGCCCCGTACGTCTGGTTCTCCAGAGGTACACCGGTACCATCTGGGGAAATCCCGAGGTACGGGGAGCTGAGCCCCGTACCTCTGGTTCTCCAGAGGTACACCGGTACCATCTGGGGAAATCCCGAGGTGCGGGGAGCTGAGCCCCGTACCTCTGGTTCTCCAGAGGTACACCGGTACCATCTGGGGAAGTCCCGAGGTGCGGGGAGCTGAGCCCCGTACCTCTGGTTCTCCAGAGGTACACCGGTACCATCTGGGGAAATCCCGAGGTGCGGAGAGCTGAGCCCCGTACCTCTGGTTCTCCAGAGGTACACCGGTACCATCTGGGGAAATCCCGAGGTGCGGGGAGCTGAGCCCCGTACCTCTGGTTCTCCAGAGGTACACCGGTACCATCTGGGGAAATCCCGAGGTGCGGGGAGCTGAGCCCCGTACCTCTGGTTCTCCAGAGGTACACCGGTACCATCTGGGGAAATCCCGAGGTACGGGGAGCTGAGCCCCGTACGTCTGGTTCTCCAGAGGTACACCGGTACCCTCAGCTGAAATCCCGAGGTGAACACAATTCGGAGCATCAAACGAGGCATTCCGTCCAGCCGATTACTGGAATGCCGACGTCGGTATTAAAGCGTTGGAAAACATTGAAATGTTTTCTAACGGTATAAAGCCTCGCCTACTGAGAGCGTTCTACAGCCTTAACTGCACCAAAATGTATGTAGTGGTCTCGGCAATGCAGGCAGCATCAGAGCCGCGCGCATCAGTAACGCATCGTGGTGGCATGATCTTCATGTGGTGGCATTCGCCGGTAGCTTGTGGAAGCCCCCTTCGCCGTCATCTGTTCTGACTAGTTTAGAGAGCCGTTTTTTGCGAGGCCATGTACCAACGTCTCTTTAATATGGATGGCCGATTCGTGCAATATGCAAGACAATCGGAAAAACACCCACCTTAACGCTAAATTGCCTTGGACCGTTTGCTTTGCAGAAAACTTTCAATGTCTGGAGGGGGAGAACCGGTAGTGCACTGGTTAAGCAACACCTCCGGGGAACCAGACGTAGGGGGTTCCATTCCCTGTCAGGACAGGAAGAAGCAGGAGACGCCACAAATCCCTGCCGCTTAGTGCTTCCTAAAGCCACAATGGTAACGACGCGTATTCCCCAGCTGCCGGCGTGCGTTCATGGGACGCTGACGTCTGGACGTCGACGTCGTCTCTCACTGTTCGCACGCGGCACCGCCCGGCACGCGCCCTACGAGCGCGAAAAGGACCGACGCTGTGCCGGCGCGCGGTCAGTGTTGGGCTCCAATAACAGCTCGCTCGCCGAACACCGCGTCCGATTACGGAATGCCGGGTGCGGTCATGGGGCCGTATGCTGCCTGTGTGGATGACGGAGTCGTGACCGGGTTTCGTGACGGCTCGGACGGCAGCGATGATCTCATTTGTTTTTTGCTGCGGCTGGTGCATCGACCGACCACAGACAGTGCCAGGGCAACGCACGGTGGACGGGCGGTGGCGAGAGGGGGGGGGGGGAGGGGGCATTCCCAGGTACGTCTCCAGGATTTCGCAAGGGGACGGGCCCCCCCCCCCCCCCCCGTCTGGGGCTCCTCAGTGGGACTGGCCCCCGGGCCTCGTGATTTGTCCCCTCCCGTGTCCCACGTAGGCCCAGAGGGACCATGCCGCCAAATACACATTTGGAATCCGCGCCCGGACACATCACTCATCTTTGTGGACGTGACATGAATTCCACAATGCAGTACGGGGCCGACTTCAAAGGGCCTTGGCCCACCGCTTGCCCTGGCGTGCCGGGGCCTCCGGGATTGCCCCTAGGCTATCCGCTGCACCCGGGACGTCCCGCCCTGGCGACATCACCCCCCTGCTCTGTCCGGTGCACGGCCGGTGCGGTCTGTACCAGTTGCAGTTGGAATCGATCGGTTCGGCATGGATGCGCGGGGGCTCGGCAGCTGTTGTAAACGCGGACGGAGGAAGCAGAGCGGCGCAGCGCAATGCCATTCTCAGCGATTTGTAGTCCATTCTGCCTTGCCAAGATAGCAGTTTTTCCACATCGTACCGGGAGTGTTTCAACGAGCATCGACGGCGGGCTGAGAGTAATCCCGTGCCGGAGATGGTCAACCTCCAATCAAATTACCCATTTTAGGAGGCGGTGGAGATGAAGGGCGGCGCCCGCTCGACACCGACGTGCGGGCGTAGGTGAGGATATTCGAATCGCTGGCGGAAGCTGGTGCCGCGCCCATTGTGACGCACCGCCCGATTACAACACCCCTCTGAGCGCGTCCGTCTACACCCCTCGCATTAGCCTCGAAGTACTCTCAGTGAAGAATAAATAATCTTCCTGTTTGAGAATGATGAAAGCCTCGGAGCAGACATCTCTGCTCGTCTCGGCGATCTGGACCGCCCTATTTCGAAATTGGTTTGTTGCGTCAGTTACTTCTTGGTCATGGCGCACCGAAGGGCTGGCTCCGTTTTTCTATGTAGCCCGTAGGACCATCCCCCGTGACCTGGCTAACAGCTTACAAACGTGGTGCTCAACTCCCTTCAGCGTCCAGTTTCTCCCACCAAACGGCGACTGGCGCTTCAGCACACCATAACCTTCCACTTCACCAGGACCTGGGCTGCTCTCGCATACCTGAGCCACCGCCAAAACCATCGCATTATCAGGTGACAGCTATTTATTTTGTACAAAACCTATTATTTAGGGTGAAGACGCCTCTCCGGTCCGAGACCCGGTGAAAGAAAACATATGGGACACGTATCTTTGGGGGGCCGGGAGGCGCGGCCCAGCCGACGGCCGCGCCGCCAGCCTCACGCACAGACAGACAGCCGGACAGACAGACAGGCGGGCAGGCAGGCGGCGGACAGCGGCGCGGTGCGCCCCCGACAACGACAACGCAACAAGCTACACCTCTGGGCCGCACGCACACTGGAAAGATGAATCCTAAAAATACCTAACAAAGCGACGCTGAAATAATCCACTAGTGTAAAATCACAGAGTGGCCGGGCCGCCGGGGCATGTCTGGAACGACACGGTAGACCCCGCGCGGGTGGCGGCCGCGCGTGCAATGAGACCTCTCACTCGTCCGACACACGTATTAAGTTAGGCGACCGACCGCGGACGGCTGCGGCGGCGGCGGCGGCGGCTCAGTCTTGCATCTCCTCGCCGACCTCGTGCGGGTTGAGGATGCCCGGCACGGCCGCCTGCTGCTTGCGCTTCTCCTCGTGCGCTCGCCGCAGCGCCGCCTCCCTGTCGTCCAGGTACAGGTCGGCGTCGTCGCCGGTGAACTCCTGCCGGTGGCGCCGCAGCGGGGGCGTCAGCACGCTAAAGGCCCTCCAGCCTACATCGCAGCTGCCGGCGGCTCACCCACCAGCACGCAACACGGCACACAGTTGTGATTGCAGACCTGTCGATTCACCTGCATGGTGTTGGCACCTGAATCGGACCGGCACGAATCACCACGTCGGATCACACCGTGAGACGCAAGCATTGTGAGTACAACTTCAAGGAAGCACTCAAGTACAACTTCAGGACGGCCGCCCAAGTAAGACTCAGCTCTGCGTGCAAGAGTGTTCAAGAGTGGTAAAAGATCAGGCGACAGACCTGGCCGGGTTCAGGCCAGACCGCCTACCTTGATCTGGACGAGGAAATCACGGATGTGCTCCTTAAACGCGCTCAGGTCCTGATTGAGATCGAACAGCCCCTGGACGGTGATCTTGATCTGGTTGTCGGTGAAGTGCGGGAAGCCGGCCTTCAGCAGGTTGGCGACGAACTCCTTGACGAACACGATGTTGGCGGCCGTGACGGCCTGCGCGTCGCCGGCGGCCGGCACCGCGCTGTTCAGCATCGTCGTCACCTGCGCCCAGACGAGCCGGCGTCAGGACTCCCAGCCAAAAGCTGTGATGGTGATCACGATTTGGACGCAAGGGCGCGTCGAACGCCCCGGTCGCATGGCGTCCATAAGCAACAACTGTGTTGCCACGGCACGTAGCAAACACATGGCACCAGGCACCGTGCAAGCGTTTGGTTTCGTCATGCCAGCGGACAGGTAAGAACATCGCCACAGCAGACCTATGACTCGGCCCTGTTTTCAGCGCGTACGACAGAGGGCCCGGTTCATCCCCGTGGGCGCGGCCGTCCAGCCGCCCACTCGCCTGTCCCTGCTCGACGATGCTGAACATGTAGGCCATGATGGTGGCGTGCTGCGTCAGGTTGGCCGTGTGCGACGTGTCTGTCATGACCGTGAACAGGTGGTGCAGGATGGTGGTGTAGTACGTCTGGTAGAAGCCTTGCGCCATCTTGTCCTGCTGCGCCACATTCAGCAGCATCTGGTGCATGATCTGACGGCGCCGGCGAAGGAGACCTCAACGACCGGCGACTGCTGCACATAGCACGACAGACTGCGGCCGCGAAGCCTGAAGGCCCAGCAACGCACACCAAATCTACGGCCGATGGGCCTCACAGATTTACCACCAACCCAACAACTGGCATCCCGTCTAACAAACGCCCAGCCGAAGTGGCCTCGGATGGCGCAAGTGTACTAGGGACCGTCTGGTGTAAGGAGACCCTAGCACGCAGTGTTCGTACCAGCAACACAAACACAACAGCGGGGCGACAGGCACCGGCCAGGACCAGGTCACGATCAGGTCACCAGGCGACGACCAGGACCAGGTCACGGTCCGCCCGTCCCGCCGACCAGCCGTCAGGGACGGCGCGTCGGCCGCATCGCCATCGGCGCGGGCATCAGCGCCACTGACCTGCAGGCCCGTCTCCGACACGTTCCGCATCGTGTGTTTGACGGCCCAGATCACCGAGTCGAGCACCAGCTTGAACTGCTGCGCCGAGATGGCCACGAACGCCGAGAAGCAGTGCTGGTTCACCGACTGCAGCATGTTGAAGAAGTTGGTCCGGTGCTCCGGGTACTCCTCAAAGTCCTTGTTGATCATGTTGAGCGTGCACTCGAACACGGCGTCGAAGATCTTGGGGATCTGCTGCGTGATGTTGTCGCCCAGCTTGTTGACGATGACGGTGATCGTGCTCAACACTTCGGGCTCGCGCGCCGCCGGCACCGGCGTCCGCTGGTAGTCGAGCAGCACGGCATCCAGCAGCGGCGGGATGAAGTTCTCCAGCACCTGGCGGCGGCACAAACGTTCCCGTGTCCACGTCTGCGACACGCGGTCCGCGTCAGGGCCCACGGCAGACCCCGCCGGGCGGCTCCCCGAGGACGACAGCGCCGCGTGCCGGCTCCCACAGCGCGTCACGCCCGGCAGCGGGCACGCGTGCCCCACTCGGCCGCTGCCAGCCGCACCGCCAGCTGCTCGCCACCGTACACTGCCAGTGACGACACAACGCAACATCAAGAACGCACGCCGCCGACGCGGGGACGCCACAGCGGCCACGGAGCGAGGCAGGTGCGCTGCCGCATCCCTCTCACGCGCAGCTGGTGAGGAAAACATGGCCCCCGTCCGAGCGACACGCGCGTGGCCTCACCATCTGGTTGTCGGTGCTCTTGCCGACCCAGGTGGCGATGAGGTTCAGCGTCTCTTTCTTCACGACACGCATCATCTTGATGAGCGGCTGCCGCGTCACCGTCTCGCCGTTGACCGCGATGGCGGCGCTGATGTTCTCAGACATCACCTGGCGGGCGCACTAGGTCGCATCAGCTCCGGTCACGTACGGACGCATCAGGTCAGGTCACGTACGGACACATCAGGTCATGTCACGTGAGGACGCATCAGGTCATGTCACGTGAGGACGCATCAGGTCAGGTCACGTACGGACACATCAGGTCATGTCACGTACGGACACATCAGGTCAGGTCACGTGAGGGCGCATCAGGTTAGGTCACGTGAGGGCGCATCAGGTTAGGTCATGTACGGACACATCAGGTCATGTCACGTACGGACACATCAGGTCAGATCACGTAAGCACGCCTCAGGCCATGACACGGTCGGACGTTGCCGCACGACCAGCGCCATTACGCACAATTATTCCGCCACAAGTCCTCCATGCTTGCTCATCCGTAATATGCTTCTGAGGTTCAACAACGCGACACAAACCCCCAGTCATTCAGCGTCATCGCTCCCGCCGACCGCTGCAGGTGGTCCTAAACTCCTGGCCGGGGGAGGCAGGCTCGCGACCCGCAGGGTGATGCGTACGGCCCCGTAGCGACAGGTGAGGCGGTGGGCGAGGCGAGGCGGCAGGCGAAGCGGCAGCTCTCTCAGCGGAGCTCCTCCGCCCCACTCAAATCACCGACGGAGACGAGATGGAGGATGGCACGCACCTTGTAAACGTTCAGCATGTCTAGGTATATCCTGCCGAGCTGGATGACGAATGGGTGGCCGACGGCTGTGCACGATCGCACGTTCGTCTTCAGGATGTTAGCTAGTTGTTTCACCGCCTCCTGATCTTTCAGGATGTCAACGTTCTGGAAACAGCATAGTACGCACGGTAATGCAAATGGCTTATGCGGCCCGCTCTGTCAATCGGCATTCGCGCTGCACTGCCAAGAGTTACGAAAGCCTAACATAATAGCCTGTTCGTTACGAGTTCGTTGTTTCCCTTTACGAGGTCAAATAGTTACTTACGGGACAATTTATACCGACCCTATGCACGCCTGAACCAACCAGGTGGCTCAAGTTCGCTCACAATGCCAGCCGCTTTTGCAGTGGCAAAGAACAGGTGCAATGAGACCGTCCTTCAGAGCAACAGCCCCTCCTCCACGTTTCGCCTGAAAGGACCTACGTCCTTTTTGAAGTAAGACACAACTAGGCAAAGCCTACGTCACTCAACCCTACCGACCATGTTTGCACAAGTGGTTTCACGGCAGCTGCACTTCCGCGTGGACTGCAGTCCTACCATTCAGCAGCTGGGCAGGCGTCCTGCCGCCGACTGCAGGCCGTCGGCGGCCATCGGCCCACGCCCAACGTCCCGTACCTTGCTCGCCTGGTTGATGACGTCATCCCACACTTGGTTGGGCAGCGACATGTACTTCTCCATGAGGTTCTCCTGGATGCTGGGGTCCGGGTGGGCAGCGATCATGTAGCCCACCGCCTCGTAGAAGGTGTGCACCTGCCGACCGGAGAGCAGCCCGTCTGGGCGTCACCGGATGAGCGGGCCGGCGGCACGCGTACCACACCATACCACACACCACAGACGCGCGCCGAATCACCGGTGGCATCAACGGTGCTGACACATCCAAACGGCGCCGCCGCCACCGAACCCGGCTTGGCTGCAGCAAAACTCCGTCAATGTGAACAAGCAGATTTATCGTGTCGAACTAGTCGTCAGCTATCGTACCTTAGCAAATCTTCTGGAAATATGGACGTAGTCGGGATCGGGGCCGGAGTTGTGGTCGTCGTCGTGGTCGTGGTCGGCCCGTACCTGTTGCGGCTGTAGGTCGCAGATGTGCGTGCTGATGGCGCCCAGGATCTCCTCGATGAAGGGCCACACCTCGCCGACCTGCACGGTGACAAATTGTTTGCGGCACTTCTGGGCGATCTTGATGAACGTGTCGCACGCCATGTCCTGCACGCCGTCGTGCGTCTCTGCGGACGGAGCCGGGCGTCAGCGCGGCGGCCGGGCGCGCGGGGGCCGGCCCGTAGCCCGTCCCACGGCGACACCACACCAGCCAGCTGCCAGCGCCCGACGCGCCCGCTGGCCCGGACTCTGCCCCCGTCTGCTCCAGAGACGGACGACATGTGACCCGGACACAGCTCTACAGTCGGACCCACAGCTGACCGCTCAGTGGGGGCGCCCTTCAGTAGCGGCCAAACACAGCAGCGGCCGCGGGCCCCGGTGACAGACCAACCGTTCAGCCGCCGACGACTGTGGTCGCGGCTTCACAGCAGACCACGAGCAACGCCACACTCGCACAACGAGCGGGCGGCGTTGCCATGTCAACAAAGTGGATTGTCAAGTTGAGGTAGAAGCGACAGACATCACAGATATTCGTGGCACCATGGAACCGTGGCGTCGTTCAGTCTTTGATATCATGAGGTCCTTATGCCGGACGTTGACAAATAGGAGCAGGTTCAAAGAAAACTGATTCTTAATACAATTGCCCGACACAGCCACCGACTTTTTAATTAATCATGCACATGCACACCAGGATCAAACACGGCTGATATTAGGTCGTTATCTGTGAGGAGCTGTCGGCACTGGTCTTCGTCCCAACCGCTACCAGTGATCCACAGGGAAGGACAATGGGTACGTGACCCCATGGAGCCGCGGCACAAGCTCCGTGGCTGCCAATCACGACCAATCATCACGGGGCAAGATCTGCGAGTCCATCTGTCGTCGCCATGCAGCGCCCGCCTCGTCCCCGCAGCCCCGCCGCCGCCGCAGCCCAGTCATGCCGGCGCTCCGGCGCGCCAGGCACAGACGCAGGCCCGCCGCCTGCCCGTCGCCGGCGGCTCGACACGGGGACGCTCGGTGGCCCGGACACCAAACGCACTCCGGACAGCTCCCCGGTGCGAGGGTTCAGGCATAAACAATAAACACTCCACGGCCGTCACGAGCGAGGGTCGGTCCACCTCACGCCGGACGCGGCACCACAGGCGTCCACGCATACACTCTGACCCCGCACGCGCACACGCACGAACACACTCGCCAACTCTCATACGGGAGGATTCAGTCGTCCACAGCCCGAGCGACAATAGACGATGGTTGCCAACGGCTGTCCGACAGGTCGACGGGACAAAGAAAAACACATGCGTGCAGAAAAAGGCATGAAGCTTGAGATTAGCAAACACCATCCATGACCGATCACGCACTCCGGCCCACATCTCCGCAGCGCAGTTGCCATAACAGGGCGCTGCCACTGCCTGACGCGCACCGTGCTCGGCGGCGGTATCAAAGAGGACCATTCAGTGCGCCCCAGGCGTCCAGCCAACACCACAATGGGTCGGGGCAGTGGGAAAGCAGCAGAAGTGCAGGAGGAACACTGGAGCCAACGAATCCCAGAAGTGGAATCCCAACGCCCGCTCCCACTGTGCCAAGCAGCTGATGGTCGACTGTGTCAAGCGGCTGCAACGGTCGATGGGATGTATGTGTGTCTGTATGTATGCGCGCACGTGCGTAGGGCTCTTTGGCCAGCGAGCTTTACCGCCCCGAACTGCTTTCCCCTGACGTTCAGTCGGGCCAAAATCGACAGGAACCATCCACACCGCAAAAGACAGTAACAACTTTCCGCGTTTTGTGCGGCTTCTGCCTGCTAAATGTCACATATTTACCCCTCGCCATCGCTGTGTCGGCTGAATTACTGTAGGCACGTGCTGTCGGCGCGGCCCGTCTCCCACCGCACCCACCGGACGCCAGAGCATGAGTGCACCGAGGCGTGTTTCTTCTAGAAGCCCCGGAGCGCGGTGCCGCTGGCAGTAACCCCAGAAGCGCCCGACGAGTGCACAGAGCAGCGGTGGGGGGGGGGGGGGGGGGGGGGGGGGGGAGCGGCAGCAGCAGCAGGAGAGCAGGCCGGCAGCGAAGGTGTCGGTGGGAGGACTGCCCTGTCCTAACCGGTGGGTGGGGGGGGGGGGGGGGGGGGGAGCGGCAGCAGCAGCGGGAGAGCGGGCCGGCAGCGAAGGTGGCGGTGGGAGGACTGCCCTGTCCGGACCGACGGGCGGCGCCCAGGCGACGGGAGGGGTAGCCCGGGAGCGTGCTCGGCGGCCGGCAGCGGCGCGGGCCGCGGCAGGACGCAGCGGTGAGTGACGGCACACCAGTCTCATTCACTCACTTGGGTCGGCGCGGCGAGGGAGGGTGGCCGGCCGTCCCCGTCAGACGACGCATCGACTCAAGGACAGACAACGCTGCAACGGCAACACAGTCTGGCGTCATACCACCCCGACCGGCCGCCACGCTCTCTCTCTCTCTCTCTCTCTCTCTCTCTCTCTCTCTCTCTCTCTCTCTCTCTCTCTCTCTCTCTCTCTCTCTCTCTCTCTCTCCTCTCTCTCTCTCTCTCTCTCTCTCTCTCTCTCTCTCTCTCTCTCTCTCTCTCTCTCTCTCTCTCTCTCTCTCTCTCTCTCTCTCTCTCTCTCTCTCTCTCTCTCTCTCTCTCTCTCTCTCTCTCTCTCTCTCTCTCTCTCTCTCTCTCTCTCTCTCTCTCTCTCTCTCTCTCTCTCTCTCTCTCTCTCTCTCTCTCTCTCTCTCTCTCTCTCTCTCTCTCTCTCTCTCTCTCTCTCTCTCTCTCTCTCTCTCTCTCTCTCTCTCTCTCTCTCTCTCTCTCTCTCTCTCTCTCTCTCTCTCTCTCTCTCGCTTTCGTTCTCTCAGTCGTGCCCGCGCTCCCACCGCTCTGGCATCCTCTCTCAGGCGCACACTGCGCGGCGGCACCAGCCACAGCAAGCATCCAACGTATCGACCACAGCAGCGTGTGAATAATAACTTCATGCTTGCTTTCGCCCGTCGGAAAATTTACCCTCTACTCTTTCCTGAAATAACTATACTGACAATCTGTCACATGCCCCCTTACTTGATTCAACTTTGAGAAACTTTCAAATGCTGAATAATTAGCTTTTGACATGCCGAATACAAGAAGTTACTAAGATCCAAGAGAAGAATCCAAGATACCCTTCAATGCAGGATCCAGCAAAACCCCACGCCGTTTTGAAGGCATCGAAGGTTACTGCAGGTATTCGCTTTATGCCGAGCTGGGGCGACACACCTCGCACTGCGCACATCTACCGCACGCTGGACGCACTACCGGCCACCACAGACACCCACCACTGCACACATACGCTGCGCTCTGGGGACAGCGTCGGCCACCGCAGACTCCCACTGCACCCGCGGCGGGGCGACGCACCTCGCACTGCACACATGCGCTGCACTCTGGGGGCAGCGTCGGCCACCGCAAACACCCACTGCACGCGCGGCGGAGCGACACACCTCGCACTGCACACATCTACCGCACTCTGGACGCACTACCGGCCACCACAGACACCCAACGCGCACGCGGCGGGGCGACACACCCTGCACTGCACACGTGCGCTGCACTCCAGGGGACAGCGTCGGCCACGGCACACATCTACTGCACACGGTCCAGAGCGACCTGGCCTAACACGGCAGACACTGCTGTCTGCGCGCCGCCACACCCCAGAACAGGGCACTGCTGATTCACACGACGCACATAACACCGCTCTCTGGGAGGCACTGCCGACCACTGCACCCTGCACCAGGGTACTGCGCAGCTCGTGCTGCGGGCATTCAGGCCAGACGGGGCTGTCTCGCTCTGAACATGCAGGTCAACATGACTGATCAGAAGTGCGCTTCATGTCGTCTTTTGGTAACTTCAACGATTCAAGGAAAACTCCTAATTGGTTGATGCCACGACGGATTTCAAGTCATGATTTCATGAGATCACGACAGTATCTCAGGTTAAAAAGTTTGTTTTTGCCCCTTCGGTGCCATGACGCAGCAGAATGTTCAGCCCTGTTCCGAACAAGGAAAACCTCACTCTACAAAACTCGTGCTGAATACCTACCAACAAATTGCTTCTGACCATGTGACACCATTGTGACTTGATAATGGTCATCACGTCATCCCCTCACGCCCAGACAGGACATTCACTACTCGTCCAGGATGGCGGGGGTTCCGGTCGAGCCGAGTCACCTCTGCTGTGGGGGGGGGGGGGACGACACCACTCACAGGCCCCGATCCGGCCGAGTCGAGGGGGGGGGGGCGCCACCGAACGGCAGTGGATCAGGGCCAGAGCGGACAGCAATGACCCCGGGACAACCTGACCCAGACGGACAAACAGACACACACACACACACACAGGAACAGTCACCCAGACAGGTGGGTAGAGCGAAGGCTGCAGCGGCGCTGAAGGGAATACTTCACCTGTGTGGCTCCGGAAACAATCCGACGGCGGTAACGCACGCCGTGGTCTCAGCGTTGCCTGACTGAGTACTTACGTAGTTTAGACATGCTATGCTCATAATACTACGCGTGGGAAAACCGAAGCTCGGCAGTGGCCGAAATGGTCCCCAGCAGTTTGTACGAAAAGCATAAAATGCTGCGAAAAGTCCCAAAATCTGGCATCAAACGCCTTCTAACAAGATACGAATGTCAAGCTAAAAAAAGGTGATGTATTCCCTTTCATGCCATGGCGTTACTGCACAACGGTAAAACCAGAAAAGCGCGCAAGAAACAAACAAAACGAAAAAGCGCTTATTAACTTTGCGATGCCAAGGACGGACTACGGCCGGAAGGAGGGCAAAAGGGACTTTTCCGCTCACTAGGAGACAGCGACAGCCGAGACAAGGCACACGATGACCGACCACGCCTGGACAGGACAGGACAGGACAGGACAGGACAGGACAGGACAGGACACAGGACAGGACAGGACAGAACAAAACAGGACAGAACAAAACAGGACAGGACAGGACAGGACAGGACAGGACAGGACAGGACAGGACAGGACAGGACAGGGCAGGGCAGGACAAGACAGGGCGGGACAGGACGGGACAGGACAGGGCAGGGCAGAGCAGAGCAGGGCAGGGCAGGGCAGGGCAGGGCAGGGCAGAGCGGCTGCTCGGCCGCAGACACTACTTCCAGATATCCGACCACTCACCGTGCATGAACTCGAACAGCTTGTTGACAACCGTCTTCAAGAACTTCCAGTGGGCCTTGAGGAAGCGCGGGTACTGGCCCACGACGTACATGATGTTGCTGGCGATGATGGCCTTATTGTCCTTGCCCTTCTTCTGCTCGCAGAGGCCGAGCAGGTCGCGGATGACCGTCACCAGGAAACGCTTCTCGTCCTCCTCGTGCATGGCGCCCGAGATGGAGCCGATGGCCCAGCAGAGCTGCCGGTGACGGCGGCCGGGCGGCAGTCAGGCACCGGCGCCGCTCGCAGCCAATCGAACACAGGCAGCGCCTGGTGACCGCACAGCTAGCTCTGGCCGATCTGGATACGATACGCACAATGCCTGCACAACGGACAGATCGATCTCTCCGCGCCTGCACGTCGTGTCATTGGCTGAGAACAAACACCTTGCCACGGCCTGACCGGCCCTCAGTTTTCCACGCCAACAAACGGACCCTGACTAAGCACTGAGCCCCCCTCCTGGCAGCCCGCGCCGGCGCGACACTGACCGTGTTGAGGTTCTTCCAGGACCACTCGGTGCCGTTGACCTGGCGCTGCAGCTTCTCGGTGAGGATGCGTTCGGTGTCGACGTAGTCCAGGTGGGTGAGGTAGACGAGTGTCTCGCGCATCGACTTGTACATGTTGATGGCGTCCGTGTCCTTCATGAACTCGCGCACCACCTCGCCCTGCTCGTTCTCCACCACCAGCACCTCTTCCGGCTTAGCCATCCGGCCTACCATGATGTAGCGGATCTGCCGACGGCGGCACGCGTGCACGGTCGGCGCGAGCACGGTACGCTGGATGACACCGTAGCCGTACAGGGGCGTCACCCGGCGGTACATGCAGAATGTCAGCAATTCTTTAAACACCAGCCCCCAGAATCCAACAACGGAGGCACGATTTCATCGTAGTTACAATGCACGCGGTTTGCCGTAACCCGGTGTCACGGTGTGACATCATCCCGCGACCCTACGAGAGCCCCTCCCGCATCACCAACAACTACACTGCACACGCCAGCGGAAAGCCAGCCGACTTCACTGCGAAGTTCCGCCGCGCTGGCGCCTGGCCGTCCACCGACCTTGGTGAGGACGACGCTGTAGAGGGCGCGCCGTCCCTGCGGCTGGCTGCTGGGCCGCGCCATGAACGGGAACGGGTTGGTGGGCGACGTGAACGGGTTCTCGCGGTACAGGTCGCCGGCCAGCACGTTCCAGTACTCGAGGCAGATCTTGAAGATCTCCGTTTCGTCCACCTCCGAGATCAGCACCAGGTAGTTGAGCGCCTGCCGCCGACGGGCGAGAGCTGCGTGATCGGTGCTGGAGCTGGAGCTGGAGCTGGAGCTGGAGCTGGAGCTGGAGCTGGGCTGGAGCTGGGGATGGGGCTGGGCTGGGCTGGAGCTGGGACTGGGACTGGGACTGGGACTGGGACTGGGACTGGAGCTGGAGCCCGGCTGGGGCTGGGGCTCACCGGTCGCCGGAGCAGCACCGGCTCTCCAAACTAGTCCTGTCCCGACATGACCTCCCGGGCTGGCTGAGATGGGTATCGTACCACCAACAGGGATACCGGTATAAGTCACGGAGGCGAAAGCACACACTGGTAGCTTCACATGGCTATGTGCTTACCCCAGCCCCCACTTCCAATCAGTCATCGTTCCCCACAAACCGTGGGAGTCATCGGCGGCAGTCTCAAACTACGCTTGGGAGAGCATCTTGGGGCGCTGGGGTCTATGTCAGAGGTTTCGGTTCAATTTTCTGGACCGGAGACTTTCACTTGCACCAATGCCAACATAAGTACGACGACGGCGATGACGTTAGGCATAACATTCGTGAGCAATTGCCTCCAAACGTTTGCGAGGATCCACTCGCAGGCAATCACCACCACTTTGAGACAGAGCGGCGCCCGCCCTCACCCACCTTGTTGAGGGTCTCTGGTGACTTTTTCTCCACGAGCGTGCCGTGCTCGCGCAGGAAGACGCACAGGAACACGGACAGGTTCTGGATGAACTTCTGCTCCGAGTCCTGACCGTGTGCATACGCCTCCCGGATGTTGGTGTTGACCGGCAGCATCTGGCGGGCGGGTCACCATGAATCTTTATGTGTTTCTGCCTATGTATTACCATCTTACCATACTATATATATATATATATATATATATATATATATATATATATATATATATATCCTAACACAATACAAGCATTACCGTATCTGTCCATGCTCGGTCTGCGCCCCCGTCCTGATCTGTGCCCCGCCGACGCACGGGGGCGGGACCTGTGGGCTGGGAGGCCAGCGCGGTGCACCAGTGCACACGGCGGCCGCGGCTTCGGCTGACCCACCTGCTCCAGCTGGGCGGCCGTCTGCGTGATCAGCTGGATGAACATGTCGTCGTAGTTGGAGACGGTGACGCTGGCGATCTCTGTCAGACACTGCAGCGTCACGTTCCGGAACATGGGCACGTTCAGGAACTGGCGACAACGAGAATCAGTGTTAGAGCACAGGCCAACGCGCAGTTAGTCACACTTCAGCAAACACGTTCAGCAAACTTATGTAAATTACACACCAGCACTTGTGATCAGCACAGTTTCTAAACGTTGTTTCCGGACTACTACACAAATCAATCACCTGACTTCCGTCTTTTGGCCTACGCGCCGTGCCTCAAACATACCTTGTAGATGAGCAGACTGATGAGTTTCGTTTCGAAGATGTAGCCGAGCGGGATCCAGTTCAGAAACCGGAGCAGGGTGTCGAGCGTGGCGCCTACCAGAGGCGCGTTCTGCGACGACTCCTGGCGACACGCAGCGGCGACACATCATTAACGGATGTCGGGGGGAGGGGAGAGACGGGCCCTGCACCGGCAGACTGCTGTGGGAGCCAGGCTGACTGGAGCAAGGGACGCTGGAGCAAGCCCAGACCACAGACACGACAAACTGCACTTTAAACACAGCCATATCTATGAACTTTCAAAGGCCGTCAAAAGTTGATGAGCAAAAAGCATCAGATGATGATGGACGTCCCCGACCACTCAGCCAACACGCAGAGGTCACCCCATCCCCATAAAGAAGCCTACTGTTGTACTGTAATGCTATGCAACAATAGTGCAACGGTCGACGACGGCAAATGGGCAGCGTTAAAGCGGTGACCAAGTAACCCACCATCACAAACTGGCAGAGCTGGAAGACCTGGCTGAACTCGGAGCACATGGTGTCCTTGAGGTGTTTGGCCTTGGCCTGGGTGAGCTTGCCGGCGCTGAAGTCAAACACCTCCTCGGAAAGCAGCGCTAGGATGTGCATGTTGTTGTGGCAGAGCGCCTCGTTGGCCTTGCTGGAGCCGACGATGTCTGTGATGAACGAGTCCCAGTTGCGGGGCCACTCCCGCTTCAGGATCTGCGACGGAGGCCACGGTGAACACGGCCACTGGCTACCGCACCAACCACGCAGCAGCGATGGAAATGATCATCATTCCTGTCCTTGGATAGCATCGCAGCGGACCGAGCATGCCGACATTTACAGAAGTTGCAACAATTTTAAATGGAAGTTAGCTGTAACGCACTTACAACAGCACATCAGCAGCTTCGCGATGTTGTCCAACCTCAGCCGGCGCGTCCGAGTATGACGTAATCGGACTAGCTGTGACGTAATCGGACTAGCTAGTGTGATGTGCCTCCCTCCCACCCAGTGAAAATTATTCCGAGGCAGGGCACCGACCGCTGATAACGGCCCAGCGACAATGTCCCAACAGCTTACAACGGTCCACGACAGGTCTGGTCTGCTTATAACTGTAATGATCGATGAGCCGCCACTGCGGCCGGCCCCCGGCAGCAGCACTCGCCACGGCACCCACCTGAACCAGGATGAAGTTGAGCTTCCTCAGATACACCTTCTCCCGCTCCAGGTTCTCCGGCACGGACGAGATCTTGATGATGAGGCCGACGATGTACTTGCGGATACCCTCGCACTGGTTGCGGGGCAGCGCGCGCCAGCGTGTCTGGATCACCTGCTCGAGGATCTGCAGAGCGTAGTACTTGGTCTGCTGGTTGGTGGAGAACTCGAGGATCGTGTCCACTCGGGTCCAGGCGTCCATGTGCTCCTTCAGCGTCGTCAGGATGAACTGCGACTCCCGTTGCTGCAAGGCGATACCGGTCACCAGCCGACAGCAGACACGGGACAAAAAACGCAAACCGCGGCGGCATGCCACGGGCTCTGCAGCGGTAGATCCTTCCGCGGCTTTACGACAGAACTCCCTGCTCTGGGCGTAAGCGTGGTAGGCTCCCACACGGACTGGTGCGCGGGAACCATGGCACCGACAGCAACAGGATGTGGAGCCCACGGGAGCCATGGCACCGACGGTAGCAGGATACGGAGCCCACGAGAGCCAAGACGCCGACGGCAGGAGAATATGGAGCCCTCGTGAGCCATGACACTGACAGCAACAGGATATGGGGCCCATGTAAGCCATGGCACCGACAGCAGCAGGGTATGGAGCCCACGGGAGTCATGACACTGACTGCAGTAGGGTGTGGAGCCCACAACCTGGTAATCGTAAGATGATCACCCTGCACTGCACTCCCGCGACCGACAAACCATCCACCATGGTACCCGTGAACCAGGCAAAGATGTGGTCTTAAAAACCTAAAAAACTTACATAGTGCTCCTGGCAAATAATGGCAAATGTATATATATATATATATATATATATATATATATATATATATATATATATATACACAAAGCATGCCTCCGGACCTACACCAGTGCGCCCAACTGCAATCCCTATAAAACGCGCATCATCGTGGAAGTTTCCAGAATTTGACCACTGATCTCACCTGCTCGCCAGTTCCATTGTACATGCACATCACCACTCTGTCCAGAAGAGTGATGTCCAGCTTCTGGCTGAAGTCTAACAGCTTCTGTGCGTCCTCCATGGTGTTCAACCTGGTAATCACAGCACAAACGTCTCACTCAAACAGTCCTGACTTGTCCCCAGACAGGACCCAACTCAACAGCTTGTAAACACAGGTCCACCATTACAGTTTCTGATGATGGGAAGACCCTGCCATGAGTGGTAATTGCCCAGTCCTCCAGCAAATTTAAAGGTGCCTGGACCATCACAGGACTGAACAATGGAACACCAAAAATAAACTTTTACCAGCCATGCAATTTGTTATGATTACTGATCACTTTCGGGGCACTAAAAAAGGGTTTGAGATGTCTATGTGAGTGAAAGCAAAATAGACCTTCTGCTCACAGAAGCAAAGGTGTAACTTCAACAAATAACACTCCAGAAGATTAAGCCCCAGAGGCCATTGTGCCTGGGCAATGTACATATTTGATGCCATGATGTGAGATGCAAAGGGTTTGAGACATCAAAGTGCACTTTTTGCTTTTATGCCCTTCCCATTTTTATGCTTTGGACATGCTCCATCACAGTCCATCATGATATGTCACAGGAGGCAAGAACAACAGGTGCTGAACTAACACAGCTTGTATTACCTATTTGTGATAAGTGGATGTAATTGACACATTTGGTGCACAAGCTACCTCCACTGGGTGCTAGCAAAAATACCACTTACTAGTCACGACAAAGATAATGATAGTGACTTAAGGGCATGCTGACTGCCTAGGTCATTTAAAAGACACCTAGTTGGCAACTGGGTGGCAGTAGGTTATCATCATGTGAAAAGCAATAAAAAAAACATGTTGGAACATACAGAACAGCATCTTTTGAATAAGGTAGTTACCATTCACCACAACCATACATATAGCTGCCAGGGCTGTCAATAACCAGCCTTTGAAATTCTGCATAACTGCAAGGGACCACCTTGCTCAGAGTGTGAACTCTTGAGTAGCACTTAACCACAACAATGAATGCATCACTGCAAATGGAACCCTTATTTACCTTTTAAGGGCTTAAGTGTCAAAAGGACTTGAATTTGAAAGGGGGAGGGGGGGGGGCAAGAAACATATGACACCTAAAAAAGTTCTTACCTGGGAGTCACCTAATACATGTTGGAGCATGTGTGTCAAACACCTAATCACAAAAGGGCTGACTGCATTGGTGAAAGCAAGCCTCCTGAGCAAGGCTGCCAGTCAAGGGTAGTGAATATCCCAGGCAGAACCAGGGTACTCAACATTTATTCAACTTGTAATAAAAACCTGACAATGTTTTCACTTCATTAAAGATGTCCAGGAAAAGTCAGTTCAGGTCATCATTGGTGAGGTCTCAGGATGCATGGTGGCATGATGAACTCATCACAAGTGGCACTGGTTTGTAGATTAAAAACAAGAAATCACAAAACCAATTGATGTGTGCTTAAGCATAAAGCCACATGAACATTCAGTGATGAATTGATTGCCCTGCAGTATAACATGGTTCACAAAAACTGGACTTGTGATCTTTCTGTGCTGGAAAGCATGCAGCTATAGGGTGCTTTCAGTAAACATCAAGAAGCATCATCTAAAGCAAATGGCAGAGTATGCATGCCAGATGCACAAAGGATACATGTGAGAGGCACACAGAGGCACAGACACTCACAAATGTGTACTCTGAAGACATCAGCAAAATAGTGGCACCTGCAGATCTGAGAGCAGAGCTATATCTGATGCCGCTGCCAAAAAATACCCGATGATCTGCACATGTGCAATCATGAGCATTACAGCCTTGATTGCCCAGAGTGCACCTGCTATATACCACTCAACATATCATGCCTATTTACTTAATATGCAGCAGTTGTGGTCAGAACATAGCAATTCCAGGACAAGTCTTTCTGACTTTTAAAACCAACCCCAGCCATAATCAATCACAAAACCTTTCCCTCCTTGCAAGCAATTGCTTTATAAAAAGTAGTTTTAAAAACCACTTTTAAGAGGTTTTTTACAGAAAACAAGCAGCAAGTGAAAAAATAGTGCAAAACTCTGCCTGGCATTTGTGAGGATTTGTGGACCACCTGTGCCCAGACATGATCTCCACTTTACAAATGAACAGCAGGTGCAAAAGGGACCACACAAAGGTCAAAGTCTTAGAGAAATTAGACTTTGGACATAAATTATGGCAACTGAACATTTTCATTACTTCTAGATTTACAGAAATACTCATTTAAGTCTTAAGACCCATTCATGGTCCTAACATAACTATCTAAGGGGCATCTATGAGCTTAATGAAAAACACAACAAGGGGACATCAAGATAAGCTTCAGATAAACCACTGCAGTACCACATTCAAGCTTTTTTCTGCATAAGGCTGGAGCAAGTTGCCTGAGAATATCACTTACAGCTCACTCCGTGTTTAAATAGTGCAGAAAAATACTTTGACGAAAGACAAATAGCCTTTGAGTATCCTATGAATTAAACAAAAAAGAAAACATCAAAGAGAGAGTTCTTGTACACCACCTTCAGGAACTATATATGTTATGCTGGGGAACATTGCATCTTCAAAAATGATGAGGGATCCTGTTGGCCTTCCTTTGTCCATGCATAAGCCTCTACCAGGCATCACCAGCTCTTAAAACTAAATCTGATCATTTCAATCTAAATCAATCTGGATTTCAGGTCATACCCTAAATTGGCCAATGTCACTACAACAGTGGTGATGCAATTTCTTCTGGACTTATTGACTATACCAGAATATGATTTTGAGCCAACATGGTGACCCAATACATCGTTAAGACCATATACTGATTATCACCATTAGCAATGGGTGTCCCCTCCCCCCCCCCCCCCCCCTAACCTACTACTCTACCTCACATATTATTGTATGCTCGCATGCATAAACCTGAGACATGGAATAGCATTAAAGCTTGAAAGGGTTGCCTCACATCCTCACAATTACAGGTTGAGTCCTGTCCAGTATGTGTAGTAATAATACTTCTGTGAGTATAGTTATAGTATATGGGATTGCAAAACCAATGCAACAATTAATTACAATATGCAAGAAGCTTAAAAATTGGCCACACCTATTGGTTAACAATCAGATATATTTTGTGCTCTCAGCAATTATGCATGCATATGTGGTCATTTGTAGATACACATCAGAAGCACATTATCTAACACTGTAAAGCCAAAAAAAATAGCAGTTTGAGGGCACCAATTGCATACATTCTGCTCTCATTGACCAGTCATCAAAAGCACGCAAGCTCCAAGACATCCCTTAGTCCGATATGAATCTTAACCTTAATCACGATCCTTGAACTTGTCTGCATATCATCTACCACATATTCTCCAAAAACTGGCAATAAAATGCAACATAGCAATTCTCCTAATAACGGGAGCCAAAAGAATCCAGTCCCTGTGAGCCCCACAGCAACCCCTTGTGCATGAATGTCACCTGAAGCATATATTTCTGATATGATGGAACATCTATAATTCACCCATAAAGGTACCACGTATTCACCTAACTCCTAACTGAATGGCACTATTCAAATGTCCTACAGTTCTCAACACAATATTATAAATTAATCAATAGCCACATACATACATAACTGAATACTTGCATACATGTATGGTACTAATGACCACGCCGGGACGGTTCCAGCGCACCGACCAGGGTCTCTCAGGTATAGTACTGGCCCATGGCAGGATTCGAGCACGAACCGTCCGCATGTGCGCAAACCACGTTCTTCCCAACTTCAAAATTTAATAATCATGAGGGTAATGGACACTTACATCGGTTGAGGGACTAGCATTCGCAGAGATATTCTTTCGTACGCCGTCCCAGGCAGGCAGCCATCAAACGAAGCAATATCAGTTCAAACTGGTATAAACTGGTTTACATGTGCGCAGCGCCATTGCTGGCGAGAACTTTCTTGCGTAGGAAAACCAAATACGAAAATAATATATTTAAAAATAAAAGAGCTATTATTGATATATTTTTAGACTTACTTTTTTTAGTTCTCTTTAGAAAAAGAAATCAATATTTTATTTTTTACTAAATATTACGGAAGCAATAAAGGAGCTCATAGACAACAACACAGGCAGCCTGGGAACCTTATCAAGGCCACATGTATTCATCAAGTATAAGACAGCTCTTTCGTATCCAGGGATAACCGTGCATGACGTCACTGACTAAAATATGAAACAAAAACGGCGTAAATATTCAGGGAAGCGCCGCGAATTTGAATATGGAAGGGTCAGATCAAGATTGAGTATTGTTTCAGCAATAACGTCACTAACAGTGGCACTTGTGATCATTGCGTTTCATGCTTCTTTTTTTGTTGTTTGTTTTCCTTATTTAGAGCGCTAGCAGTCCACAGAGAAAAGCTCAGTTGCGGGAAGAGTCCAGTTTTAAAACAACCAATACATGACACACACACAGCCAAAAAGTTACATACACATACACACACACACACACACACACACACACACACATATATATATATATATATATATATATATATATATATATATATATATATATATATATATGTATCCTGGTCCCAACAACGACACGTATATCAGTCACACAACTCACATATATCTTGAACACGCAGACACAACGGTCATGAAAAGAGCGCACCTCGAGTGCCGGCGAACCTGAGCAAATCAGACTGGAATTATTTTGGTGGCTGGAAAAGGTTGGTTAAGAGAGAATGCTGTAGAAAACTATTACAGCCAATGGTCAGAAGTGTGACCCCAGCAAATGGCTCATGCAAATGGTTGGTGTGCCGAGAACCCGGGTGGGTGTAGCTAGACCGAACAGAGATGTCAGGTGGGCGCAGTGAAGCCTCTGATGATCTTTGTTGCATAAAGATAAGATGTCAGACTGAGTAAAACACGTCTTGCTAGATGTCGTGTTCACATAAGCGAGAAGATGCTCATAATCCAGTGAAGGACACCGCGACTGGATACTCGAACCCAGCCGCATAAGAAACCGTTGTTGTAGTCGTTGGATCTGGGCGAGATGTAAAACGGCAGCATCGCTCCAACTAGCGCTACCGTACAGTATCAATGGTTCAACAAAGTTGTTGAAGGCACGGAATAACGCTTTGTGATTGAACGTCGCTCGACGAAGAAATGACGGACTTCGTGTGCTTCGCGTGAAGAGGTTCAGTATGCTGCTTGCTTTTGAGGCAGTCGCATCTAGATGTTTGGCAAAGGTGAGTTTGTTATCCAGGAGGACGCCAAGATCGCGAATCTTCTGGCCGCTATCTAAACGTTGACCGTCTGGTGCATTTAAGCAGTGAGCAGGTAATGACCGGAGGATGAATGAGATGGTTTTGCATTTAGCTGGGTTCAGTTTGTCCACAGTTTTCGGGCCATTTATAGAAGCGATCAAAATCAGCCTTGAATGCGAGACACTCTGCAACGTTGTTGGTTCGGTGATGAATTTTGAAAATTATCAGTGTTCGTGAGGCAGTATTTCTTAATTTGGTCAGGAGCATCAGCCAGGAAACAGGCAAGCAGCAGCGGTCTCAGGATGCTGCCTTCCAGAACATCAGATCGTACTGGAATCCAGTCAGACTGCCTGTCGTCAGCACTAGGCGTTGTGAACGATTGCTCAAGTACGTATGTATTGTTATGTCGGTCATTGACCTTTAAGTGTATCGGTCATCGACCCTCCGAGGAGGTACCCGTGTGTTAACCATCGTGCTGAGAGAGATAAAGTATCTGTACGCGTTCTTGGCAGACAAAATATGTGGTCTAAAATGAAAGTTACTCGAATATGATCTACGTTTGTATAATTGCAAACTGAAATTTATAACATAATGGCGATAAGGATTGGATACATGCAGTTAAAATGATATAATTTATGGTTAACGTAAGAAGCAGCATCTCACGATTCCAACTGGATGAGCCCAGCTTCACCAAGCGTGTGAATGCAATGAGAGAAGCAATTGTGCATAGCGATTTTGCGTTCACGATTGGCAGTTGCATTGCAAACAGTGGCCGGCTGGCGGCAATAAAAGTACATTGCCAGATTGTGATAGTACTGGTCGACACTGGAGCATGAGCAGACATCACAGCCACAAGGACTTTGAGAAACTGGCCGGCATCAAAGCGGCAAAGACGAGCTGACGACTGCTGCCGTATGGATTGGAAATCCTAAAGAAGCCGAACCGTCAATTCATGGCAGCGATGACATCCAACCATCGAGAAGTCCAGAGCTGTTGGACCAAAGCAGCTCACGACCAAATGTCGCTCCTCAGTGGAATAACGGCAGAGCTTCTTGGTCTGATGACCACTGGAGGGCACGTCAATCAAGTGACTGAAAAGAAACCCGCTAAGCCGTCGCTTGAACAAGTCCTGTACGAACACAAGGATGTTTCTGATGACATTCTGGGGTAGCTAGCCGACGTCAAGGCCGGCCTGAGGTTAAGATAAAGGGCAAAGCCAGTGTTCAGGAGAATACTACCCGTGCCACATGCGCTGCGAGACAAGGTCGACAGATCTGAAAACATGAGAAGACCCAGGGATAGCTAAGAGGATCGAATATTATGGTTGGGGCACACCCCTGGTGGTGGTGCCGAAACCCGGAAGGGGGGGGATTGGGGGGGGGGGGGGGGGGTGACTGTGCGGCGGCTATAAATGCATGGTTAACCGTTGGTTCAAAGTTCCACAACATCCCATGCCGAGCTTGGAAGATGTTTTGACGAAACTGGCCAGCATGAACAAGTTTTGCAAACTGGATCTCAGCACCGATCATCTACAGATAAGGCTGGACGAGAACAGTCGGTAGCTGACCGTATATATAACACACCGAGAGGACTTCCAAAAATGACGCGCTTGCCATATGGCATCCCAGCACCGCCTGCCATATTTCAAAATTACGATGGCGGAGGTGCTGGAAGGCCTCCCTGGTGTAACCTACTTTTTAGATGACGTCTTTGTAGCAGGCTCAACGGATAATATAACTCAGGAGCAGCTGAATGAAACTTTGAAGAGACTGAATAAACGGAAGATCGTCTTGAGCAAGAAGTGCGGGTTTATGATGGTGTCAGTCCAGAATCTGGCAATAGAGCTGAGCGGCGACGGCGTCAAACCAGTGAAAGAAAAGGTGGACCGCATGCTAAAGACATCAAGACCTTATAACACCGGCGAGCTGAGAATCTTCCTGAAAGCAGTAACCCACTACCTCAGATCTATGGCAGACATGCCGAAGGTGGCAGCTCCGCTACATCGACTGCTGAAAAAGGGGCAAAAGTGGCAGTGGGTGGCAGCCGAAGAAAGCAGTTTCCAGGCTGTGAAGCAGAGACTCGCTTAGGCTCCCGTGTTAGCTGATTATGACGGACGAAGGCCGGTGAGATTGGTCACTGATGCCAGTTCGAGTGGTCTGGGTGCCGTTTTAATGCAAGTGGACCAAAATGGGAACGAGCGACCCGTGAAATCAGTTTCAAGAAGTCTCATCAAAGCTGAGAACAACTACGCTCATATTGAACAGGAGGGACTGGCCGTCTTCTTCGGCGTCACCCGATTGAAGCAGCACCTCTGGGGCAGGAGATGCACTCTGGTGACTGATAACGAGTCACTCACCGCCCTGTTGGGACCAAAGACGCGGGCTCCTGTGCTGGCGACAGCTCGAATGCAGAGATGGACGTTGACTCCGGCAGCCTATACATACGATGCCGAATACAGAAAGACAGCGGAAATTCCAATGGAAGACTTCCTGTCACGTCTCCCAATTCAGAGCAAGGAGAAGCTGGCTGTCATCCCAGATGAGGCTTCAGTTTACTTCCTGAGGCAGTGTGACAGGATGGAGCCGCTGACCTGTGAAGCTTTAAGACGAGCCACCGGCCGTGATAACGTGCTATCAAAAGTCGCTCAGAATCTCCACAGCAGCCAGCCGGAGCGGGGACCGCCGGAGCTACAGCCGTTTGAAGAAGGATAGTTATATCTCAGCTGTGGCTGCACACTGTGATATTTCGTGAGAAACGGAGTGCTCCTGCCCGAGCGCCTGCGGAGAGCAGTCCTGAGCAAACTGCACGACAGTCACCCAGTCATTAGCAAGATGAAGATGTTGAGACGCAGCTGTGTGGTGGCAAAAGGCTGATGAAGACATACAAAATGTGGTGAGCAGCTGCCCAGGGTACCAGGCCGGATAGAAACAGGCCACCGGCAGTGTTTTTTTACACCTCTGGGAACACACACAGAAGTCATGATAACACATCCATTTAGATTTTCGTGGACCTTCCAGAGGCTGCTTCTATCTAGTAGTGGCGGACAGGCGTTCTAAGTGGCCAGAAATCGTCACAATGAAGAACATCACCACAGCAGCGACAATTAATGGGCTATCAAAGATATTCGCAAGATGGGAAATTACATTGAAAGCAGTGTCGGATAATGGAGCTCAGCTGACGTCAAAAGAACTTGAAGAGTTCAAGATCAAGCTCGGGATCAAACGCATTCGGAGCGCACCATATCGTTCTCAGTCCAACGGACTCGCTGAAAGAGTGGTGCAGACAGTCAAGCAGAACCTAAAAGCATGTCTGATGAGTGGAGATAACCGTCCGCTCGAGCTACCGCTGTCCTCGTTTTTGATGAGGTATCGAAATACCCAGTACAGCAGAACGGGAGTGGCACCCGCGGAAGTCATGATGGGAGGAGTCACGAGAACCAGACTGGATCTACTGAAGCCAAGGCCCGTCGACAATGCGCTGAATGCTCAAGCCAAGCAGATGGAGAATGCCAGCAAAAGATTCCCGGAGTACACGGCTGGTGATCCAATGCTGTTTAACTAGGCTGGCGAAGCAAAATGGAAGAAAGGTAACATGAAGTACACATGAAGTCAACAGTGATACGTCGACTGGTGGATCTCCAAACACACCGGAACGGAGTGAATGCAGGG